AAATTAAAATAAAAAATTAAAATAAAAAATAAAAAGAGGCGAAAATAAAAAAAAAGAAGCCAAAAAAAGTTAAGTTGCGTCGTCACAAATTAAAATAAAAAATAAAAAGAGGCGAAAATAAAAAAAAAGAAGCCAAAAAAAGTTAAGTTGCGTCGTCACATTGCCAACTTGCAAGCAGTATTAGTTGACGAGTAGGAATAAGAAAGAAAGAGTAGGAGGAAGTTGACCCACCAAGTATGGAAAGGAACTGGTGATGACCAGTCCAGCGCTCTGGTTGGGCATCCACTAACGTGGTCCAATCTCACCGTACAGCCGCAGCGGGATCACTCTGCATCTCTCATTCACTGGTTGATTTCGTGAAGATCTTCGTTTCACATTACGACCCTCTTGGCCGCCTTGCCAGGAACCACTCCCATTTGTTCGCAGATTGTCTCTACCGCTCCAATCACTTGCAGTCCTACTATTCTTATCCTGGCTTATACTGTGGCAATGGTCATCTGCTTCCTTCAATCCTCTCGTTCTTTCTTTTCCTCCTTTTTCTTTTTACTCATTCGAATAATGACCATTCTCTCCCCACTCAGCCTTGTTGCATGGCCTCCCTTTTCGTCTCACCTTGGAGTAACCCTGGGGAGCTGTGTCCACCTGCACCATGTAGTCCTACCTTCCTGTCCGCCCTGATCAGCATTGCAGTTGTGGCCCTGATGCTGTCATGCGACTTTCGCGTACTGGTGCCACACAGATGACAGCCCCTGTCGTACTACAAACATACCTACTCTGTATACACACACACAGAGAGGAAAGGTGAATATATTAAAGCAAAGTCTATCATGGACACCTCGACATCCTAGTCATGCTCATTTTGGGTTTACCAATCTTCCTATGCCGAGTCACGTAAAAACAACCAGAAGCAGAATAACCGTAAGATGCCAAAACTGGTTCACTGGGGGGTTCAAGATAGGGAAGCCCTAAAAATTGACGCCAAACCAAACACCAGTCATGCTCAATTTCAATGGGCGAGAAAATAAAATCAAAGAATAATTATCTTAAGAAAAAAGTGTATCAGGGGTAACAATGGAAATCAAGATAGCATCGTTATATCATCATCATGAGCCAATACGCAAATGGCCGGGTGGCTAACTCGATCTCAGGTACCTGCCTGTTTATCCGTCTGCTCGGTTATGTACGGTTACGGTGAGTAACCCATCCAGTGTAAACAATGTAGCAATGAAGGATTGAATCGAAGAAAATTGGCCATCCGTATCAGCAACCGTGAAATCGAACCCACCAGGGATCAATCTGTCATGAGCCGAAATATTGGAATCGAAAAGAAAAAACAAATTAATCTCTAATGACGTTTATATTTCTAAGAATCACAGTTAATCCATGTCAAAGGGAATTGGGGGATCGAGGTGCAGCAAAACTTACATCTTCCATCTTCCGCCTATTGCTGGGATCCAGAGTGTTTCCGGCTCCCAGAAGCGTTTGTCCCACGGCCTTGGACACCCCGATCGCAGGACGGAGAATAACCGTTGGTGCACGTTTCCACACAGCTTTTGCAGCTGCTTTGGCACTTCCGCTCTCTACGACTTCTCCAGGCACAGCAACAATGGCATCTCGGGTCAGAAGCAAATCGCGTTCTAATCCCCTGAATGCTCCCCGAAGGCCTTGAACGACACCAACTGGCTGGTCCGCATAAAGTGAGATTTTCTTCGCCTCCTCCTCATCAACTACATCATCTTCCGCGCTAGCCAACTGTGTATTGGGGGATGTCAATAGGTCTTCTGCGCCCTGTAGGACGGTTTGGGTACCAATGGCTAGTTTGGCACCAAGCTTGACGAGCTCGTTGGATGTAGTCTTGGCGAAGGCAAGTGCCCCCTTCTGTATACTCCGTACGATGCGACCGTCCTTGCGATATTCGCGCATGGGAACGACCACGAGATCCTTCACTCCTCCTCCCACGTTGACTAGGGACCTGATCGGCGCTAGACCGGCGAGGACCCCCGGTAGTTGGTTTCTCTTTATATCTGGCATCCATATGTCATTCAAGGTCTGGCCAAGCTTGTCAAACCCAGATACTCCATAGATGATGACATGACGCATGACCATATCTGCCCCGTCGAGAACGAAGAAATTCATAAACTCGGTCGTGCGTCCAGACCGAAGCCCGGTATAATCGACTCGCTTGGGTTTGAAATCGAGCTTGACGGGAACCGCGTTTATCTCAACTCTCTGTAAGAATGGTATGTCTTGCGGGGCGCTAGGGGCAGGCGCAGAGTCATCGCGAAATTCGAAAAAACGGCACAGAAAGTCGAGAGCGTCTTGGTCAACATGAAGCCTTAGGGGCAGAAGAGTGGCCTATGGTATTGTTAGAAATTATAGGGAGGCCGTTGGAAGGCTCCTGTTTTACGCACCTTTAAGACAATCTCGGATGCAGCGAGCTCAGGCACAGGCCTGACGGTCAAGATCTCCAAGTGCACCATACTGGTTCCACTTTCTTTCTCACCCACTTCATGCATGTAGGTTGCAAATTTCTTCCAGGTTGACGTAGGCACATGATCGAATATCTCCAAGTCATTGACTCGAACATCCAAAGAGCTTTGCGTCTCACCGGAGTCCGGTGGGAAGACGACAAGATCTGCGCATATGCCTTTAAGCTCAAATGTCATTTTATGATATTTGCTCCTGGATAGCCGCAGCTTCTTTCTAAAAGAAGGCGACTGGCTTTGTCGTACCGTAGCCCCAGTGACTGTGGTTGTAGTTGCATAGCTGCCGGTCTCACTGACAAGATCATCAATGTTGCGGTTGATATCGCTGCGAAGCTCTCGCGGATCCTTGTTAGCGGGAATACCTATATATATTGAGTTAAACAGACAGTCGCCGATGACTGACTCCTCGTCCTCGTCGAAGCTTGGGGAGGCTCTATTCGCCCTTGCTCGCCGGTCCGTAGCCTTTTTCTCCACGTCTTTGACCGCCTTGGATATAGTGTCTCTTGTCCGCTGCCAGTCATAGCCATCGAATAGGTTCCAGATGACATGAGCATCACGGACCCTGATTCGTAGAGGGCTCTTCTGAAGCTTCGTGTCGTCCGAAAGGCCATAAGTGTTTTCGGTAGAATCCCACCTGTGCGCTGTACCCCCAACAGCTGACTGTGTTGCAAAATGATCATCACGAAATTCGAGGTCGGAAATACTGGATGATACATAGTACTGAGAGTGAAAACTATCAAGGAGCTCATTTGATCCTGAGGTCGTCATAGCCTCGTGCAGAGATCCGGCTCCAGATGTTGGCTTCACTGGATGAAAGTCACTTACGTACTCGATCTCATCCTCGATATGACCCTCTTTATCCCGGATATTTTCAGCGGAATCGCCAGCTGTTCCAGAGACCACTTCCAGACCTGAGCTTGGATCTAGAGCAAAGGCATCGCCGGAAAACGATGCTAACATGTCTTGAAGTGGAAGAACCTCAGTCCGATACTTCTTGGTCACGCTTGGAGGAGTAGGAGGCTGCAGCCCATTCACTATGCTGATGAGAGTTTGTGTTGAATCGGCACATGTTTCAAGAATCAGCAAGTCATCCCTGAGTTCCACATCTAGCGACTGTGTCCCGTCTTCGCTCGAGCGTAGCAATTTCACACTAGCCGTGGCTGACGATATTGATGAAACGGTAACAAAGCCCATGTCAATGAAGGATTGGACCTGACTACTCGGTGGAGCAGTCGAATTTCTTCGATGTAAATCGTCTGTCTTCCCCGTATTTCGGACATCGTCAATAATCATGATTGACGCTTTGCGAAGATCTAGTGTGGCCTCAGAGGACGCTTCATCGTCCATGGTTCCCGAGAAATTCGCGTTCGTGAGCACGACAAGGCCTTTTGCCTCTGAGCCACGAGGGTTGAGACCAATGACGCAGTCTCGCAGGGCTAATGCCAATCTCGTGGGTCGTACAGGGCTCTTAGGGCTTCCCGGCTTTATTGCTGATTGAGATTCTTTTGAAGGGTGTAGCTCCGCCAGATTACCTATGGACTGTGCCATATGGGCAGCAACATCGCCGGTCGTCGAACTTTCATTGAGACCGAGAAAGGCAATCACTGCTGGAACTGTGTACTCTGCGCGTAGGTTATGCATTTTGATCTTGATAGTGGGTTCCATTTCATCGGCAATGAAACGGGCCATGAGCATAGGGTGCGGGATTTGACCTGACCTTTGCTCGGCGCTCAAGGGTAGGGCTTCGCCTAAAAGCTCTTCAGTTCCGTTTCTGAGAACCATCGCCGATCCAACTTGGGCGGCTACAAGCGAAGGGATGCTTATATACGCCACCTCGGCATTCTTGAGGCGTGCTGTTATATTCCCAACTTTACCTCCAACGTTTACCTGGGCTTCAAAATCTCGGATCAGATTCAGAGTCAAGAGACCAGGCCGGTCGTCTTCAGGCAAGTATTTCGCAACATTAGACAGCCTACTTAATTCATCCCCAAGCTGTGGTAGCGAGTCAAAGTCAGTGATGCGCGAAATCATGACATTCGCCCCAGCGATTGTAGTACGAAGGACAGAGCCTTGTCGTCGCTGTCGGAAAAGCGTATCTAGCATGATGTCATCGTCTTCATCGTATTTGTCCTTAGACGGCGTGATCAACGACAGCAGACGGTCTAAGTCAACCTCTTTCGGAGCGAAGAGATATTCAACTCGGATGTTGCTCAGATTGATTTTAGCAGGCGCGTCTTTAGAATCATCAAGCGGTAACGGTCCACTAAGTTTCGCTTTGTCGATTTGGACTCCCACGCCTTCGAATCTGCTAACAACTTTAACCGCGGTCGTTCTCAGCTTGAGGTAATGAGACTCTCCAACAATATTGAGCGCAACACCACCGACCCGTGCATTCACTTTCCACGGCAAAGAGGTCTCCTGAGGGAGTTTTTCAGGCGAAGGCGGCGCTTCGAAATGTACCCCACGCGGTCGCTTCGGTGGATCCTTCTTTGGCGCCTTCGCACCTGAAGCAGATGAAATGGAGCTCCCTAGCTCTAGTATCGTGCTTAGACCTCCAATCCACCCCACAACCTCCTCCAAGCGTTGTATATTGAGGTTGAGGTGGAGAGGGAGTGTAGTGACATGAATCCTTGCGGATTCCAATGACTTGCTCATGGAAAGCGAAATATCTCCATGCATGGGTGATAGAACATCCCTCATGGATTCCCTCATTTTAAGGTCTTGGTTGAATGAGATGAGGTCCTCTGAGGCGACCCCTAGTGCGAACTTGGTTATATCTAGGCGGAGCTTCGTTTGATCATTAATTGATGAGAGATGGGCTTTCATACCAGAAGCCGTGGTTTGCAAAACGATGTCCTCATGCATTAACCCGAAGAATGTTGGAGAGTGCTGTCGAGATTCACCGAAGGGGTTCGCATGCCCTGGAACATGTTCAACAAACTTGACAGAGAACTTATTGAGAATTAAGCCGAAAGAATTGTTTGTTTGTGCTTGTTCTAGTGCTTTGCTTTCTGGGTTGTATTTCTTCGGAGGCTCTCCATCGCCGTGGCCGAAGGCGTTGACGATTCTTTGACCGATCTTGATAACAAGCCAGCCTATGGCAATATCAAATTGCACCTCCGCAGAATAGATCTCGGCGATTACCTCGTCACGTTCGCTACTGAAGCCGGGGTCATGCTCGGCCTTTTCCTCGTAGCCTGAAGCTTTATGATCAACACCTTCGTGGGGAGAAGATGGATCGTTAACGCCACTACCAGGACCCGGAAAGTTATGAATTCTAGAAGCTAGTAGATCATCATCAATCACAGAGTCCTGCAAGTATGTGGTTGAATCCTTGAGACCATCACTTGAAATCTCTTGATGAGGTGCTGATTGTGAATCTCCCGGCATTTTTTCATGGTCAACCGAAGGGATCCATATGAGAACCTTATCAACACTGACAAATCTCTTCGCCACGTCCGTCAGTCTATTGAATCCCGGTGAGGTCTGAATCGATTCTCTATCGGACGTTCCAGTCTGTGTCTTCTGAAGATTATCGATCGAACGGGCAGGTGACAAGTTCATATCTTCCCGGGCGGTAAGCTTAGGCGTTGTGATTGCTTCATCCTGTTCGTTATACGCGTCCTGCTCCATTGCTGTAGGCGTTTCGTGGAAGCCTGTATCCCTCACGTAAGTAGACTCCGACGAGTCCCAAGCGCCAGGCATATTGGGCATGAAACTGTGTGACGTCGAACCTTGGCTTATCGCGCTCATATACATGCTTTGCGCTTCCTCATTAGAGAACAGCTTGGACTCCGATAATTCACCCTCCTTAAGAGATTCAGAAGCGGAGCCCGAACTGTCGGGTTCAGAACGAGGCGCACAGACGAGCGGCAATTGTTGCTTATATCCAAGATGAAAGTCCTCTTCTGGGGCTAGTCCAGACGACCCGGGTTCCGTTATAGCCTCAGGAGCTGCTAGAAAATGCTGATGGCCCGGGAGTCTTGCAACTTCCAATTCATGTCGGTCATTGAGGGGAATCAGGGCACCCTCAGGATGATTGTTCTGGTCAGATGATTCGGTTGTATGTTCAGGACTTTGTGGACGAGGAGTATCCCCGCTCCTCGGGAAAAGCTCAACGCCCCTAGTTTGCATGTCATCGAGGCGCTCAGGGTCATCATCCTGGAATTGATAATCAATGACTGAATCAAGGTAAGCTGGGTTGTCCAGCAGCTTTTCATCATTTTCAAACTGCCGAGAATCATCAAGAGAGCCATAACTCCTATTCTCGTCCGTATCCGCATCAGAAAAACGACCGTCATATGTGTAAACAGATCCTTCCATTCTTGGCGTATTCTGTTCGCCTAACTCTTGCCTAGTAAGGTCCTGCGGTGGTTCGAAAATGGTTGACCTTGTCATAGCTAAAGCTAAACTCGATTCTGACGAGGTCTCCGGACAAGGCGACTGGGCCCTACTTGGAGGCTGGCTCGACTTTGGCTGTACCGGAGTAGACGGTGAGGCAGGAGCGGCGAAGCGAGAATAGTTGGAGAAAACGACCGGCTCAGATATCAAAGCAAGGTTGATATCAGACAGGGAAACCAATCGTTTCCCCTCGGACGATGAGGCTTCGCCTGATTCGGAATGAGTGGACACTGCACCCATGCTAACCTGGCGCACACTTAAAAGCCCCGTTATTAAGTCCGGTTTTTCCTCCGGATGCCTTTTCGAGGAGCCCTCTTGCTTGGTCTCGACATCCACGCGTATAGAGATGTCGTCGACTTGGACCTGGAGTCGATCCACCACCCCCTTTAGGAATGCAGCGACAAAACTGGGTAACGATACGGTTTCGTTCCCTAGGCCGAGCTCCTCTTCATCATCGCTCGAAGAGGTCGATGTATGCTGCAGGACCTGGGACTGCGAGGAGATAGCAGCCTGAAGTTCTTCCCTTTCTTCTTTCGGCTCGGCCTGAAGGAACGACTCGGCGAGATCAGTCGGGTTGGGGAGGATTGGTTCATCCCCAGAGCCAGGGCCAACTCGCCCTGAGACCTTCTGGTCCGTTGTTGCATCGTGCGTTTCAGCACGACGAGTCTCCTCCAACGGTAACCTTAAATGCACGTCGATTCCGCTAGCTTCACATATTATACCGCTGCTGTAGATATCGGCAGGAACCGTGAGCTTTAGGAACTGAACACGGGCACTGAGCAGCTCGCTTGACGGAGGGAGGTGCAGGAGTGTGGCTAATTTCTATCCAAAGATGCATACATATCAGCGTACAGAAGCAGAAGCACCGAGACGCTCGGCCCGGCGGTACTGACCAAGGATTAGCATGGTTCACTCACCTCGAGCCTCAAGCCTATATCCCGCAGTTCAACGGTACTACGTTGTCCCCAGCGGATGCCTAGGCTATCAAGATCTAGTGCTTCCGTATCGACAAGCTCCAGGCGAGACAAGGCATATCTGAGTAACCGCTTCTGAAAGAACGAGGGCAGGAAGTAAGCCATTTTGGTGGGAGAAGGAGCCGACCGGGGCTCATTTAAAGATCGCAGGTGTCATCGGGTGGGTATCATAATACGAAAAAGAGAACGCTGAGCGGATGGGTTGTAAGGCTAAGACTTGGTACTTCCCCCAAGGGGACAAACAGATGCGGAGGGTTGTTGGGTATGGACCGATTAGAATGACGTTCGGGGAAACCAGCGCTAGTGTTAGCTTAATTACTGTATTTATCAGTAATAACAATCAGATAGCGACGGTCGGATCAACCACCACAAGTCAGGCGGAGCTCATCATTATTGGAATGACCGAAAGAAAATCAGGCCGTGACAACTCATACATACATACTCTGTACATACGTCAAATATCGGTAGTGGATGGTATTGAGCTGTTCAGTTGTTTGAAAACTACACTGACCACTAAAGAAATATATGCCCATCTTAACACTCGTTCGACTTTTAGTAGAACCGTGGCAACCCAACGAGGGAGCTACCGGTTTAGGGTAGTCTACGCGTGATGGATCTTCTTCATACTCTCACACACACGTTATCACGGGCGCGCGTGGTTTCCATAGGATTCAGACCAGTTACAACACGAACTTCAAGTCTGTAGATCTAGATTTAGTCCATGATACTATTGACTCCGTACCTTTCACAGCGATAGCCAGACTCAATGAGATAGAGTATCCAGTGGTAACACTGAATATTGTCGAGGCTAAGAATACTACTCGTACGGAGTACTCTGTACTAGTCCAGGAATAAATTACTATAACCATTACATCCCCGGTAGATCATTTACTATACGTATGGAGTATGACCGTTATTATCTCCGCAAACGAACTCATCACACCATCAACATTCCTTGCGTCCCACGTGACTGGACGATCACAGTACTGAATTGAACCCCTGTGAGTTGCAAGCGTCACGGTAGCCACTTTGAATCCCCATATAAAATTGCACAACCCCCGATAATCTGGGACTTGCATCTATACGCCGAGCGGCCTATACAAATTTGCAAGTAACGGGGTACTCAAAACTGTGATCCGACATTATCTCTCACCATTCAGAATACCTGCCTCTGCCAAATCGATTCGCCAAAAGGCTACCCTGCGAGCTCAACACTTTCTACAGCCTCATTTAACTCTGTCACAACTTGCTGAATAGTTCAAGCAGAATTATAATAAGACAATAAGCGAGTCCATAGTATCCCGAACTCTCTCATCTCGATACCCATACCTTGATGATCCTTCCGAGACCACAAGCAGACACGGCATCGTACACAACACTGGCCAGAGTTAGAAGCAAGCCTTTTTGAGTGGATACAGCGAGCTGAAGGCCGCGTACCAATTACACAAGAAGTTGTCCGTACAAAAGCTAAGCAGTCCTGGATTAGGCTCTATCCTGAAAGGGACATGCCTCGATTTAGTAATCCCTGGGTCTATCGATCTAAAGACCGCCGAAATATAAAGTGCAGAGATTTACATGGAAAAGGTGGAAGCCTTTCTGAGAATGCAGCTGCGGATATATATGGAATATGTCAAGCTCTAAAATGCTACGCACCTCAAGATATCTTTAATTGTGATGAGACTGGGCTTAACTGGAGACTCTTTCCAGACCGGAGTTTAACTACTGGTCCAATTCCTGGCCAGACGAAAGAAAACTCCCGGGTAACTGCCCACTTCTGTTGCAATTCAGATGGCTCAGAGCGTCTCCCTATTTGGTTTGTAGGGACAGCTAAACAGCCTAGAGCCTTCCGTGCAGCAAGAATTTATATCGAGAACCTAGGCTGCTTTTGGCGTTATAATAGGATGGCATGGATGACTGGTACAATATTCAAGGAATGGCTTTTATGGTTTGATAAGAAGATGACTGGTCGTAAGGTTGCCCTTTTAATGGATAATTTCTCTTCTCATGAGTTTGCTTTTAGGGAAATAGCCCATCAACTGCAGAATACCTTTGTTATATGGCTTCCAGCTGATTCAAATTCACGCTATCAACCTCTCGACCAAGGTATTATCTCTACATGGAAGACATATTGGAAACGACAATGGGTTTCCTTTATGGTAGAGCAATTTGATAATGGCTTCAACCCAATATCGACAATGACAATTCTACGAGCAGTTAGATGGGCTATTTCTATATGGGAATTAGATTTACCGGGTGATACTATCAAGAACTGCTTCCAAAGGGCTCTTACTATTGAAGGCGCTCAAAAAACTACTGATCAAAAACTTATTAAGGAGGTTGAGAAGGGGCTTCAAAAACTACAGTTGGCAAATCATATTAGGGAACTGATGGATATCAATCAGTTTCTTAACCCTTCAGAGGAGCAGGTTGATGACAATAATATCGACCTTGATGACGCTATCCTAAGCCAATACGTACCTGCCAATGAACTACCTGAAGATGATGATGAGTTCTATCAACCTCTTCCTCAGATATCAGTCCTTGAAGCCTTAGAAAGCCTTCAGAAACTCCAACTCTTTGAAGAGCAACAGATTGAGGGGAACAAGGATCTTATTCAGTCACTTACACACCACGAAAGGACACTTATGCAGAAGGTTGAGCGTCAGCGTCAAACTGATATACGCTTTTTCTACAGCTGAGCGTTGTCACCCTGCTTACTCGTCTGCTTAGTCGTTGATTATATGATCTGCACGGCAAAAGAGCGCCGGTTCAATCCCAGCTCTCGTCTACGTGGTGGTCTTCTTTGGACGCCTCACAGACGTTCCCAAGACGCTCAAGCGATAACAAAACGATGCTCCTGTCGCCCTATTGGGTAGGAACCAGACTGGCTTTGTTCACCTACATGCCAAAATCCATAGGGTTTGGGCTATTCAGCTGTAGTATCTATTAGGGGTCATCAGCTCCTACGCAGGGAATATATCTACTAAGAAAAGCGGGTATAGGAGTCTACTATATGTTGAAAAGCTTCATGTTAGATACATATATTGGTGTAGGAGGTAAGGCCTTAGGCCAATCAGATCGATTCCCCAGTTAGTTGCAAGGCGGATGCCTGGTTTCTATCCTTGCAACTAACGGGGGTTTTCAGTACTAATATTCCTAAGTCAGTCATCTGCATTCAATCTCCACTGTGGGTATCGTATTCCGGAGTTTGTACAAAGTAGTATACGGACCCTGAGTAGGGTCTTGACGAGTCGTTGATTGTTCAGTATTATTATACATTAGCTATTAATTCCATCAATACTGCCCCCTTGAAAATTCAAGCTTAAAATTAAGATATACCCGCTTCAGCGAATTCCAGTGTTATCCACTCGCAAAATTTCTCGAAGCAAGCATACCAGTCCCGTAAACGGGCGGCTTTCATGCCTTCACCTAATATTCCCTCTCGGATATCTGACAGCCATTCGACTGTTGACTGGTCTTCATAGCAGCTCCACCGGATTGAATTCTCCACCATCATTGCAAGGCCCGGAAGCTCAAGGTTATTGGGGCCCTGAAGTGCCTGCCAAAACTCAAATGTTAAGCTATTCAATCCATGCTCGGAAAGGTCTGGAGGGTAGCTGCTAAGAGAGACAGGGACGCCCCGGGATAACAGAACCGAAAGTGGGTCAACCTGTGTAGAATCTGTTCGGTTAGTGATACCCTTCACAATAGGGCAGCACTCGACAAGGATCTTTTTTTCTTTGACCAGCTCCAGGAGCAAGGGGTGCTTATACAGCGACTCTCCAGGACCTAGCCTCCTAGTGCCAAGTAGGATCGCATCAAACAGGTCGTTTTCAATCTGTTTGCCATCACATAGATTGTCTCCGACATGGAAAAGGAAAGGGATATCCACCCCTTCTTCAGCGCACTGTTTTCGGAACCAGAACAGAATGGGAACGAGGTCGACAAGTGATCTGGCATCGTCTCCTTGCCCTATCACATCAAATCCACAGACCACCTCTGGAAAATCCTGCTTCGCCAGGATGCAGTTTATCATGCTACCAGACATTTCCCTGTTTGACAGTGCGCGTGAGGTTGTCCAGATGACGCGTGCTCCACATAACGACCTGCCTTCTTCCGTGCTTCTGAAAAGCTCAAGTTCCTCCTGAAATGCATGACACCATGCAGAATAGTCCTCTTCAGGAGCAGAGCTTCCTTCTCGTCTGTATGGGAATGTAAAAGAATGCCTAAGTTCCACATAGCTTATGCCGTCGGCAGCAAGTTGTGAAAATATCCAACGAAGACACGAGCGGAAAATGGGCTCGTAGCTTAAAAGCGAGTTAACAACAGACGACAAAGTCCTGTAGGCATTCAACATATCATCGGACCCATGTTCATGATATAAATGCTCTGAAGCGAAAATACATCGCTTCTTCAGCCAGTCACGAAACCCAGCTTCTCCGCCGTTGGGAAACGATGCCGCCGCCTTTTGTAAGCTGATTAAACTAGATGGTTCGTAGCTAGGTTCCCATAACGTTGGCTCACGCTCCAAGCTTTGTACCGGTGGTGAGTATCGGAAGTAGAAAGTTCCTTCTTCATAGTCTCGTTGAGTGGTCAAAGGCCTTGGGGCATATATGTGAATGCCTGGAGTTTTAAAAGCCTCCTCTATTACAAAGTCGATAGTAAACATGGTTTCCATATGTGCATGTAATAGTGACCCTTTCGGCATCTTCTGTAAGATTCTCCATAGCTCGGTTTTCTGCACCTCATCCCTGTTAGGGTGGGACATGCGACTGGTCTGAGAGGTAGAGTTTAATTGGCGGGGAATTCCCTCGTTCAGCCCTAAATTTCTTAGATCGCGGGCGCGTATCTTGGAAACGATTTTGCAAGCCTTCGTAGCTACTGGCGACAGGGCCTTGCGAAGATTGGTGTCTATAATAACAATATTGGTGAGGAATAAGCTCCGGGTGAATATCTAGGTACCTGTGGGGAGGGAACTGACCATATCGCTGTTTTTGCTCCTCCAATACGAGGGAGGTACGGCCCTTCAGATACTGTTGAATGAAAGGGTCGTCAACCTGGGGTATCCCTTCTTCTAGTTCCCAATCGATATCGCTTGAACTCATGGCGAAAGTATAGCTTGGTTGAAGAAAAGTGACGACGGAGGTTGAGGTAGGGGCAGATCATCGATGACATTGACAGGGTGAGGGTTCCCCGCTTGAGGTACTATGGTGGGCCATGTTTGTTTGCGGCACAAGCTAACTTTATCGGAAATGCCGACTTCACCTGGCAATTAGATAGTTACTTCATACAGAGCGCATTTTTTAGAGTTTCAGGATATCTCATTGTCTACGAGATTTGATCGGATGACAATTCTCTCGAGACATGTGATCAGTCAAAGGGAAATTGCATCGCAATAAACAAAAGATTTCAACCTTCTCACGATGGAACGCTGATGTAACCTAACAATGCAATATGCAAGTGGGACAATGAACGAGCCGCCCCGATGAATACGGGGCAAATTTGATGCTGCTAAAGTATGTGCATCCTTTGTACTACTCCAGAGTACGGATGGCCCTGGAAAAGATCACAATTGGTTGAATTACCCCGGATCGTCGTTACCATAACTAATTCTGTATAAAAGACCAGACCGAAAGTCCGGCAATCTCCGTACGTACATCTCATTATGTAGTAATCAATGTCACCCTAAATCCAGGAAGAGTATCGGTGGCTTGGCACTCCGAGAGCTTATCGCGAGCCCTATCAGAAGCCCTCGTTTGTTGGTCGCACAGTGGTAAAAACAACCTTCGGCAAGCCTCCGGCGTACACCGATACAAAAGGATTCATGATGTTATCTGGTTTATACTCGGTGGGCTTGGCACCTGAGTCGGAAGTGCGGTTAGTGTCGGTGTGCTTTACCCCTTTGAGCACATAGCGCTAATTCATGTACTCCAGAGTGGTTGAGAACTAAGGTATGCCCACTGTGGTGCCTTCTTCAGCGACTTCGAGGTGGATATCATTTTCAAATAGAAACTGTATTCAAACCTCCCCAACCGCGGTTCGGTGAATTAGTGGTGAACCCTAACCTTATAACGATCAAATCACACAGATTATCTTGAAAGGAATATCCAGGGCCAAAAATATCTGGTCTCTGCCTGCATAGTTTATTTTCATCTCCAAGGGTTTCAGTAACGGCATTAACCCAATTAGAGGAGGCGGCACACGAGCGACCTTTTGTGCGGAGATTTATTGTCAAGGTGTTGGTCAACTAAGAAATTCGCGCCTCTCATGGTTGATCTTCCGCCAATCTACGGCCTCAGGCCTGTAATCTTGTCCCTAGTGACGTTTTAGTGCTGCAACAGTCTTATCACTAGACAGGAAGAAAAAAAAAAAAAAAAAAAAAAGAGGATACCTTTGCCACTCTCCATAATCTGGGAATGGGTAAGTGGAGTTTTAAATTAGCTCCCTTCTAAGAAATTTCTCTCTGTTTCTTTTCCATTACTGGTTGAATCCACTACCCAGCCACCGGTTGTGCTCCGTAGATACTAGTAAATGGTCTACTAGTTTAGCACGCTGCTCCGACAAAAGGTATCGGGGGGGCATGGAAAAAGAAAGAGGAAAAAAAATTTCCCTAGGCATCCAGAACAACCGTAGAAAACGAGCCACTAGCGTCCTGTATAGTTGAGAACACCATGCCATGCCATGCGACAAGGTCTTAAAGTTAAGAACATACACTATCCCCGCTTGCTGGTTGTCAACCGATAAGTCCCAGCCTTGCATCGGTCAGTTTTCCTCTAACGGGCCTTATCTCAGGTGGACATGGCCTGAGCTGAAATTTTTACTCGTTTCACACACATTTTCATTATCTCATTATCAGTCCCCAATCATTTCATGTCTGGGTCCATGCATTCAATAAAATTCTATTAATCTTCCCCCCGGTCTTGCCCCGTCAGTGAAATATTGACCACATTTTGACCTTGCCACAGTCTTCAACAGATAAAACGGGGTTAATTGACGTGCCTACTTGATACGGTACAAGCTGCGTGGAGATGGTGGATGAGAAGAAACTAGAGGGCAACGGCACGTCTGCGAGTCACGCGATCTCCTATACTATGCCTGCGATGGAGGAAGCTACGCCACAGCGTCATGTCGCAGTTCCCAATGCGCAACGGGATATCGAGGAAGATATCACTTACACAAAAGATGTCCACTCCGAGAAGAGAGAACTACCGGAGTCGGATTCTCTCGATAGCAGTGGCCAGAAGAAGGACGATAAAGACGAGGAGGCAGGTGAAAACGTCCCGTCGCGATCGTGGCGCCGCTATCGCCCGTGGCTGAAGCATGTTGTCTACGCCGTCATCTGGCTCTTGTTCACCGGGTGAGTTGTGCCTTCTTCGAGCTGTCGGGGACGCCTCCCAGCGAGGTAGCTGTGATCTTGTCAAAGCTCATTATGTCACTTATAGCTGGTGGATTGCCGGTCTCATCCTCCACCGGTATGATCTGGGCTGGTTGATCCCATTCTTGATCTACCTCGCGATTACATTGCGCCTCATCTTTCTCTATGTTCCCATTTCGATTGTGACCAGACCAGTCTACTGGTTATGGAACCAGACCGCTTCACGATTCGTTAGCCTAATCCCAGAGAAACTAAGAATCCCCAGCGGCGCGCTCTTGACGATTGCCGTGATTATCGTCGGCTCATTTGCCTCGCCAGAGTCTGCAGACAACACCCGCGCGAACAGGGCTGTCAGTCTCTTTGGACTAGTTGTTTTCCTCTTTGTCTTGTGGCTTACCTCAAGAAATCGGAAGAAAATTATCTGGCATACCGTCATCGTGGGAATGCTTGTGCAATTCATCATTGCACTCTTCGTCCTCAGAACCAAGGCTGGATATGATATCTTCAATTTCATCTCTACGTTGGCTAGAGAACTCTTGGAGTTCTCTAGACAAGGTGTAGATTTCTTGGTGGAAACTGGTTGGGCCGATAAGCACAGCAGCTGGTTCCTCGTTAGTGTGGTCCCGGCTATCATCTTCTTCGTGTCTATCGTCCAGTTACTCTACTACACTGGCGTTCTTCAGTGGGCAATTGGCAAGTTTGCCGTATTCTTTTTCTGGGCCATGCGAATCTCGGGAGCTGAGGCTGTGGTGGCAGCTGCATCTCCTTTTATCGGACAAGGCGAGTCAGCCATGCTTATCAAGCCTTTCGTTCCCTATCTTACGATGGCGGAAATCCACCAAGTCATGTGCTCTGGATTCGCTACTATCGCAGGATCGGTCCTGGTGTCCTTTATTGGAATGGGCCTGAACCCCCAAGCGCTGGTGTCCTCATGTGTGATGAGTATTCCGGCATCTGTAGCAGCATCTAAGCTGCGCTGGCCCGAAGAAGAGGAAACGCTGACAGCTGGCCGTATTGTCGTTCCCGAAGACGATAGCCACAAAGCAGCTAACGCTCTTCACGCATTCTCCAACGGAGCTTGGATGGGTATCAAGATTGCTGGCATGATTGCCACTACACTTTTGTGTATCATCTCCCTCGTGGGTCTCGTTGACGGCCTGTTGACCTGGTGGGGTCACTACCTGAACATCTACGAGCCAGATTTGACTATTGAACTCATTGTTGGCTACATCTGCTACCCGGTTGCCTTCCTTCTTGGTGTCTCCCGTAACGGTGATCTCCTAAAGGTCGCTAAACTCATCGGAACCAAGCTTGTTATGGTAAGCCCCGTTGTCTCTGATTCGAGAGAATAAACAAACATGCTAACAGACTCTAAATAGAATGAATTCATCGCGTACGATTACCTGCAGAACAAAGAAGAGTTCCAAAGTCTATCGCCCCGTTCCCGGCTGATCGCTACCTATGCTCTGTGTGGTTTCGCCAACATCGGTTCTCTCGGAAACCAAATTGGTGTGCTGGCTCAGCTAGCCCCCAGCCGAGCGGGCGATGTGTCCCGTGTTGCTGTCAGCGCTATGCTCACGGGTGCCATCAGTACTCTGACGAGTGCGGCCATCGCCGGTCTCCTAATTACAAATGAAGAGCAATACATCTCAACATCCTAACAACAATGCGGGAACATTGATCTGAGCATGTATCGTGCCATTTGAACTGTACTATTTAATTGCGGGTGTTCTTTTACAGTTTTCTTCGATGTTCGCAATTTTCATTGACCATTTCGAAGCAGAAGTATTGTATATACTTGTATCTCCATGAGACCAGGAGCTCACGATCTCAACTCTTTCTTGATGCAATGACTTCAATGGGAGTCTTCGGCTCATTTGTTCTGCGAGCAGTAAATACTACTATATGAATATCCTGATCATCTTATTGCATCCAAGTTTGGTGATATATTTCCTCCCATGTATTCTGTCATTATCTAACTACAATCTTCCTGTGGTCGCTATGCCTACGAGTAACTGCACGCGACGCTACAGTATTCGACGACTGCTATAATGTATTACAGTAAGCGAACTCGATCTAGCGCTTTGCATTGGTGTGTCCTGTCTTCTCTCTTGCTGTTTCAGTAACCCTATCTCTATCGCGGATAGCAAAAAGCCCTGTATTGTCCAAAGCATCTCTTTCGAAAATTCATGCGGTTATGCTTCTACTAATTGTCAATGGGCTGTCTGTAAACATAGATTGCCTGGACAGCTCATGGGGTACCGAGATCCAAGTGTCCACGTGAGAGCTAACCTACCTGTCACGAGAAAGCTAGAGAACTCAACTAGTACCCTCAATTCGATTCCAAATAATGGATAGGGTAGGGCCGTCCTAACGGACTAGGGATCTAATTGATCACGCCGGATTAGGCGTGCCAGGCTTATGTCAACTAAGCTGCCGGATAGTTATCCATATCATCGTAGCACGCAAAACACTTGAGGTAAAAATCAATAGAAGAAATATAGTTAACAATTATTAATTTGCAAGAGAAAGAAAGGAACATATTTATTCCACGGGCGCGAGCACTCTTATACTTGAGTTAAACCCGCAGTCCCATAACAGAAGGTGAACCCAACGCATAAACTCCAGAACCATTTGTATCCCTTATGCATCGAACCGTATCCCTGAGCCAAAATGCAGGAGTGACAAAGTCTCCAGTGAGACGCCCCAAGAAACGACGACGCACAGACCCTATGCAATGCATCTAAAAGAAACACGGTCTGTCCTTAACGCCACATCACGGCAACAGCCGACAAAAGTCATTACAGTTTACTCAATATCATCAACGTCGCGGTGTCTCGCAAGGACATGACGCTTGTATTCTTCCTGGTTCGTGTCCCACAGCTCGGCTGCCTGAGCGTTGAGAGGACTGGCACTATTCGACCGTCAGTAATGAAGTATGCCACATATAAGAGGACTAGTGTCTCACTTGTTTGGTTCACCGAGCAAGCTTTGCAAGCTCAGGAGAACACTTTGCACATTGTACACAGCACTCCACTTGTCTTTCAAGATATCCAGACAGATACGTCCGGAGAAGTCCACATTGGGGTGGTAGATGGGGGTCTTGAAGAGGACGGTTGGTGGAGAATAAGGGTAATTGTTGGGGAAGGCAAACGAGAGCTTGAATGTCAAGCCCTCATAGGGAGTCTCATTGGGGCCGCTTATGGTGGCAGTCCAGGAAGTAAGGTTGCCATCGGCGTCAGGAAATGCGGAGATACCGGGAGAAGGCGAGAGCATAAGTTGCATCAGTTCAGATTGGAGGCTATATGGATGAGTAGAAGTCAGCATCAATATCACTTTTTTATTATCTTCCAAGTATAATACCGTTTAGTTACGCTTTGGCTGTCATTCCGCTGGGGTGCCGAGTTCAGCTTGGACGCTTCAAGCGCCTCCGGAGCGGAGTTCTGAGTATCCTCCATTGTATAGTCCATGGTGGCTTTCCCAAGAAAGCGAGAGAGTAGAGATAAAATACTTTGATCCTACTTGACGGAAAAAATAACAAAAAAAAAAGGCTTCCGGAAGGTTGTGGAATGTGAGTGACAGTAGCAGGAGAGGGTTGCTGTCTGGAATGACGCCGGATGCGAACGCGGTACCGCAGTTGGCTGGAAAGTGAACGGGACGACCCACAGAATGAACCGGAGAGGATCTGATCGGATTCAGAGCAGTCGAAAGTTCCAAGATTGACTTTCGAAACTTGCAATGCAGGGGTATACAGAAAGAACAAGGAACCTTACAGGTGTAATATTATAAACCTCTAAACTGGCAAGGACAAAGGGAAAGTTGGGTTTCGCAAACGGGGAAACCTTGGAAGGCATTCAAAGCCCTCTTTCGGGCTCCTTTTGTTTACTGTACCAACCAAATAAATGCGCCCCCGGCAACGCAGGCCTAAAAAAAAAAAAAAAAAGCCCCGCCTGATCTTACACCACTAATCTGACTCGTTCTTTCATCACGCTATCAAATAGGATTTGGTTTTTCTTAGTTAAAATTGCCTCGTGAGATGAGGTCGGAGATTTTTGTATAGCGTGCACCTTCCGTATGATGCTTTCTAATTCAATGATAGCCCGTACAAGGATCTTGTAAAGTTCTGGATATCATCTATTATCTAGTGTGTTGAATTACGATCGAATCAAAAGAAGAAGTGCCCTGTCACTCAAAATTTATCCCCCAGATGGCAGGCGACATGCTGCTGCGGGTCTAGAGATGTATGACGGACATCAAAGTTACCAACATCCTCTTTTTCACGTTGGTTCCCCCGTAGGAGTCATGCGAACGATTGACTTGTTGTTCTATTCTTGATTTCTGCTATAGAATTATTTCTTCTTCTCCTGGTATAACTTATATGTCCATCTGCTATCCGGCTATTTCACCATATTTCTCTCGTGTTTATGTCCTCATCGTGAATGTTGCGCCCGGCGGATCAACATATTACCCAAAGAGGATAAAGTGGCAACTCGCGTGCCGCGTTCCTCAGCCATCTTGGCCCTTGCCTATCTTCATCATTCCAGGATAATGGATCTAAACCTGGCTGTCGTATGACAAGGATCTTACTGTCTTTCTACTCTACTTAGCCCGACCGATCTATTACGGCCAGGCTCACAGAGGGCCACCTCAAGATGCACCACTCTCAACTCGCCCCATTGCCAAACGATTTGCCCTTTCGTATTGTCTCCAAGACAATCGGCCAGGGTGCCTACGCGTGGTATGTTTATTATTCTTTATCTTATCTGATTTTTTGCTGCAATGTAGACTGCAATTTGCTAATGCTGTTTCGTGTCGTTGTATAATAGCATCAAAAAGGCATGCCCGTCGCACACGGATAATCCGGTCTTCGCTGTGAAATTCATCCATAAAGAATACGCCGCGCGACATGGCAAGATCAGTCCACGGCAATTGCAGATGGAAGCGACGGTGCACAAACACATCGGCGACCATAATAATATAATATCATTCTTCCAAACTGGAGAGGATGGGGTATGGAGATGGATCGCTATGGAACTGGCCGAGGGAGGCGATCTTTTTGATAAGATCGAGGCTGATGAAGGTGTGGGGGAGGATATTGCTCATGTATATTTCTCACAACTTGTCAGTGCAGTAGGATATATGCACTCGAAAGGCGTGGGCCATCGCGATATCAAACCGGAAAACATGCTCTTGACGGCAGATGGGAATTTGAAAATCGCGGATTTTGGCCTGGCAACGTTGTTCGAGTATAAAGGGGTGACAAAGCTTTCCACCACGTTCTGTGGCAGTCCGCCTTACATTGCACCGGAGGTCATTACTTGCAGCAATAAAAACAACACGAAAGGGATAGGGTATCAACCAGATCTGGTCGATATTTGGTCATGCGGAATTGTCCTTTTCGTTCTCCTGGCCGGCAACACACCCTGGGATAGCCCAACAGAAAATAGCTACGAGTTCCACGAATATGTCACAACCAACGCACGGACAAGTGATGAATTATGGCAACAATTACCAGTCGCGACCTTATCATTACTACGGGGTATGCTAAATATCGACCCAGCCAGCCGCTTCTCTTTGGAAGATGTTCGGAGGCACCCCTGGTATACACGGCAGAATAGGTTTTTATCACCGGATGGCAGGCTCAGAGACCCAATAAATATGGCTACAACGATGTTCGAGTCTCTTCATATAGACTTCTCCCAGGATCCCCTCGCTCGGCGAGCAAATAGTGGCGTTGATCCTTGCCGAATGGACATGGACATAGGAGATCTGGACAACGACTTCAGGATCTCGTCGACGCAACCTGAGATGCCGAGAGGCCACATGCTAGTTGATTGGGATACGCCTCACTTGACTGACGTCTTTTCATCCACTCAACCGATGGGGCAACCCCTCTCGGTGGACGATACCTATGTAGCTGACACGCTTGAGGATGAGCCATCTATGTCTCAGTTTTCTCCTCATCCCTCTGTGCCTCTCAGCCGAACACAGAAGGCACAACAGTTTCGTGATATAGTACCATCCAGGCCTTTGACTCGCTTTTATTCCACGTGGGAACTGAAAATCCTTGTACCCCTCATCTGTGAGGCTCTGCATCGCCTGGGGGTGCCCGTGCCCTCAGTACCCGCGGTGTCTGCCGGTGATGCGTCAGCAATGATAAGAATTGTCACCAGGGATGGCCGAATGTGCACGCTCCAGGGTAAGGTCATCATCGAATGCGTGTCAGAGGGTCTATTTGAGATTGAATTTATGAAAGTGAAAGGTGACCCGCTTGAATGGCGACGTTTCTTTAAAAGGGTTGCTGTTCTTTGCAAAGACGCTGTCTACAAGCCTGAGGGCTAATCGGTGGTGCTTTTTATCAGGCCTTTGAAGTTTCTTCCGGGCTCAGTGCAATCCTTCGCTTTTTCCATTTGGGACTTGATAAAGGGTCACCTTCTGTATGATTAATATGATTTATGATGGATTGGGTAAAAGATAACAATTGGAATGAAGAGCGTGGGTATGCTCTCAAATAACCGAGGAGGACAAATAGAGCCTTGTCATGAAAATAAATTTATAGCCGCAGATGATCTTATACTGTGATAAAGTCAACCATTAACATGGGCTTTCTTAAATAGTAAATAGTACTACTAGTCTCCACCGCAATTAAATGCATGGCAACACGTGATGCCAATCAGGCTGATCGCGGGGAGATTTATAAAGAAAAGTCTGGAACCCAACAAGAAACGGCCTGTCCCACATCTTTGTAGTGAGCCCCAATTGGATTTGTCCGGCCTCGATGGTGTTTCCGGACCAGTTTTCCTCATGGAGAAGCTGCCCGTAGAGATTCTTGCTAAGATAATTGACTGTAAGCACACCTAATCTCATTTCTTTCCTCTTTCCCAGTCAATCTACACTATTCTCCACACTCCGATCTTTTAGTGCGGGGGGTTCCTTGTGTAGTACCTTTTGCCACAATCTCTATACGAGTTAACCATCCTTGTGAAACACCAGATCTCTCGCCGCATGAGCAGGTACAGCTCCAGTCTGTCTCTAAACGATTCTTCGGACTCGCGCGGGACAATAATCTATGGAGACTCCATTCTTATGAACAATCATGGGCCGCTGCAAACGCCTCTTACTCGGCCAACAGGGCCTCGGCACGCCGTGTCACAGATGCCACTACTCCCCTTAGCTCACTGGGCCAGACTTCTCTCCGTTCCCTAATTCAACCAGATATATCACTCTCAAACGGGAATCAGAATGTGTCATTTGCCGAACGGTCAAGGGCGGCAGCAACGTGGGATCCGTCGTATGAGGGTGAAGATATCGACTGGTATTCGGAGTATATTGCTCGCAATGGACCAATATCCTTCAATTGGCTCCAACAGCCCTTTACAAAAGAAGACCAAGGGGAAAAGAGACACCGCGAGGTCAAAGGTATGGGGTTACTCCGGGATTGGAGCTCTGCGCGACAGAACAAGGCTATCGCGCCATTAGATGACGGCAGTGTTTGCATTTGGGATCTAAATCATTCCCATTCAATCGGGTCTCAATCTACTAAAGGCAGGATTCTTGGAGTTAGCCGGCCGGGCATTCTAATGGCTAATCTATCCGGCCGGAGGGATAACTCAGCAGCTAAATCAGGGCTGGAGTTTATTAATCTTGGGGAATGTGTGAGCGTGGACTCAATTCGTCGACGAGCATATCTCGCTGTTGCCAATGTTTTAAATGAAGTCGATCTCGAGACGCTGAGTGTAATCTCACAGCAGCGTTATCCCTGGTCGATCTTTGCCCTGTCTCAAGAGACAGATTACTCCGTGCCATTAACTCTAGCTACTACGTTGAGCCTTCACATATACGATGGTCGGCTATCTGCAACCGAGGAAGAAGAGGCCATTAATCTTCGGTGTGAAAAACCAACACTCTCTTTGGTCCCGAAATCACAGATCTATGCTCCTCCGGATTCCCCCCTTCTCCAGCTTCAGCCCAACGGACAGCCTCCCCATCGCATACGAAGCCCCAACCCCTTAGAGACGGGCGAAGACTATGCTCCTTTGTTCCAACCAGGACCACTTGCCCTACTGCACCCCCCGGCCCCTCATGTGAATTCCATATTCCTTGCCGGGCGATTCCCAAGCATCTTGCAATATGACCGGCGGTTCTTTCCCCGCTTGCAGAACACGATTCACTCGGGAGGTCGATTATGCGGTCTCGCCTCTGTCCCAGCGCCACAGTTTCCCCTGTTTTCTGGTTCGTCCTGCCCGGACTCACATAAGGTTGTCGCCTGTGGTGAATACAAAGGCAAAGGCTCTCTTGAGCTATACAGCCTTACGCCATCGGGTGTGCAAGGAGAGAACGGACCATCAGATCTATCATCCAGTTTAACACCAATGTATCAAAACCGACAGAGTTCTGCAAGCTTGAAGGTGTTATCTGTCGAGTCGCACGGAACCCGTATAGTCTATTCTGACGGGGATGGGAACATTAAATGGGTTGAACGAGACGGCCGAGCCGAAGTTCGTCGATTCAACATCAACGATTACAAACCTCGTCGGAAGGATGAACAAGACTCTTCTGGACTTAACACTAATATGCGGGATGAGAGCGAAGAGGCCCGTGGCCTGTGGAATGATTCATCTAGCCCTCGGAGCAACGACGAGGTTGCTCGGAAAATTCTACCTACGGGTGGAAATTTAACGGGAGATGAACTCCTCGTCTGGACAGGCGAACGTGTTGGTCGGATTAGATTCGCCGATACGTATGACTACGACGAAGACGAAGAGGCAGATGATCTCATCGATATCAGCGAAGATATGGATAGCGCTAAACGTGAGGAGTTACGAAACAGGAGACGTGAGTTACGGATGCGAGAGCGTGAATATTCCAGCATGATGCGGAGAGCTTTAGAAAGACAGGCCGATGAAGTACGGCGGATGGGAGGCTTAGGGCTGTAAGCCGTGAAGTTACTTTTTTTGCATATTGGCTATGTACCGTTCAGATAGTATACCTTGTTAGATCGACTACACTTCTGCTCTTTATAGACAGCATAATTAGCAAGCGCAAGATGTTTTTATCTCCTTTTACCTTTCCATTATCAGGCTGGTGGAACACTGAAGCGTGTATATAGTGGATGATATAGCGCCAGAGTCTGGCTCTACCGTAAACCGCATTAGCAAAGCTCTCGCTTTAAACAGAGGTATCCAGCCTAACAGGAATTCATATTCCTGGATTAAGATATATTTTAGGCAAGCGTGGAAGTCAGCCACCAGCCACCGGAATTCGGCATGCACACCTCTTACTTTATTATAATTACAATAAGACCTGCCTGGTATAGCTCTAGTATAAGATATAAAAAGACGTAATATAGGCACAGAGCTGTGGCTGATAAAGAAACTATATTATAGATTGGGCCATACATTACCTCCCAACCAACTCTGCAACACTCTAGTAACATACGTCGTAGAGAACACTCGGAGCAACCACCTGACAGTCGGCAAAAAGACCGAACAAGGAAACCTCCCAAGGAAGAAAGGCGAGAACAAAGTAAATATCCGTGGTAGGATTTGAACCTACGAAAACAATCTTTAGGATTGTTCATGAAATTTATTGAATGCCGGCGGGTTTAACCACTCCCCAGTATCAATATGACGGCAGGATTTGAATCTGCGAGCGCAGAACGAGCAAGCATTTTGAATTCCACGAAAAGTATGGATGTGGTCATCTCTGTATTCTATAGATCATGGCGTGTATTTAAACCTCAATATCTCAATCGATTAAATCTATATCTATCCTGAAGGTATATATGGCCTATGATATACTGGAGTACTAAACTATTAAGCTTAGGGAATTCAACAAAATTTAAATACTAGAGTTAAGATAAAATGCTCATAGACTAAGAATACATAAGTGGTCGGCTCCCTTGCGTGGCATGCTTGTTTACTACTCCGGAGTAGGTACGTTATTCAATAAGCCTTGAAAGTGTCTCTATCAGAGTCCAGTATATAGATCAGTTCTTTCAATCCAATCTAGGCCAGGTATATCTAATAAAGGTTAGATTAGGCGAGTTACATTGCCAAGACCTACCACTTTCTTGTATAGTTCTTTGCTAAGGGACATATCGAACTGTTTCACGTGGAACTTGAAGCTCTTGGCCGAGTTTGATAGGAGTGGCTTCAGTCGATAATATTTCGCATATGGAACCCCTTGTATCAGGGGTCAATTCAGATCCCTTTCCCTTGTTCGGGTCCACAGAGCAAACGTGATTTTGGCCAATACTACTCTTGGGAACTGTATATGAAATGTTAACAATTTCTAGCCTCTAAACCTCCGTATTATCTTTATTGATACTTACTTACATTCACAATGTGCAAGAGTGAGTGCGAGATCGAGAAAAAGAACGAGGACGATGCTTTGCTACATGGATTTGGCCGTGGTTGATTCTGCTATAGGCCAATGCTCGGTCCCAAATAACTTTGCTTTAGACTAAACTTCCAGATGTGACCAGCATCTATATCTATTTCTGTAACTTCATATTGCCCTGTCGTATCCAATCTATAAATTGAGAGAAGTATGGCCATCTGATATTCGAAAAAATGTCCTTTTGCCCACTCAACCTCCACCAGTTGCTTAGAAATAGTATATACTAAAAACATCCTCATAAACGAGTCGTAAACATGCACTCCGCAATGGAAAAAGAGCCGAGAAGAGTAGTTATAAACATGACAATAAAGGGAAAAAGGGCTATACAAAAAAACCTCGTGACGCTCGAACTTCTTACTCTTTGCCATTTGTGACAACAGGACTACCCTCTGTTTTCTCGACATACTCAACCAGGTCTTCGATGGTGCATACCTTAATGCCCCATTTCTTGCCGAACTTCAAGCACCCATCACGTCTCATCATACCGTTATTGCCACCGATCTCTGGGACGCCCGGGACCAGCTCGCCGTCCTCCACCAACTCAGCAATCACACCAGCTTGTACCTTACCAGTCAGCCGGCAGAACTCGACTGCGGCTTCAGTGTGTCCTCTCCGTTCGCGCACACCACCGCTCCTGGCTTGGAGGGGGATGATATGGCCCGGTCTCCGGAAATCTTCGGCGCGGGCAGTCGGGGAGGCAAGTGTTCGGCATGCGAGTGCGCGGTCCTGCGCTGAGATACCGGTGGTAACGGATGGGTCACTTGAATCGACCGAAATCGTGTATGCGGTTCCTTTCGGGTCTGCATTCTCAAGCACCATCTGGGGTAGACTGAGTCGACTGGCGATTTCCGGGGATACGGGCGCGCAAATTAAACCACTGGTTCGGGGAAGGAAATGTTAGTAACTGCGGTATATGAGACACATGCAATTGCAGTTGGGATTCATGAGGATATCGGGCCGAGGGGGTTTCCCACCTTGTGAAGCGAACCAGGAAAGCCATCTGGGCGGGGGTAATTGAGTCGGCAGCAATAATAAGATCGCCTTCATTTTCACGGTCTTGTGAATCAAGCACAATTATGAACTCGCCATTTTCTATGCGGAGCCATGTGGGTTAGCGTTTGCTGGTAGGAATTGCCTCGGGACGTTTCCACATGTGTGCGCCTTCAACACAAATGGGAAGAATATAGAGGGGAGGGGTAAGGGGAACAATGCTCACTGAAAGCCTTAATTGTATCTTCAATTGAATCGAATTGAAGGCTGGGATCGGTGTCTGCAGGCATGTTGAGTTGCGAAGATATGCCCCTCACTTGAGCGGGGCAGAGGAATAGATGTGGCGCTGGTACTGGTTTCTTTGAGACTGAGCGTAGATATGCTGAAGCTTGAGACTGATTATTCCGGTGTATGCAATTGGGACAGTAGATTTGGGTTGGACGTTGGAATTGAACTCCTTTCCAAATGTGAATGAGTCAAGCCGATAATGGTTATCTTCGGGTCGGTGTGCGGAGAAGCGCGGGTGCCGAATACCGCAATGCGACTTTAGAGTAGAATCAAGTATAACAGGAAAGAACAGAGGTGTCTGGAGCTTAAAGGAGATAATTCTATACTCGGAAAGTTGCGGTAGCGCAACGATATATATAAGGTTTGGAAGCAAGCGGAAGGGAAGGGAAGGGAAGAAGAGTGGGAGGCCCGGACTTGAGTCGATCACTAATGGTTTGTCATGGATGTAAAATAAGTTCACTGCCGCGGTTGATAATTCCATCCCACTTCCCTTTAAGGTAGTACTACTCCCACACTGAGGCTGTCGCCGATTTATGCGCGCAGCGCGCTCATGAAGCATGGCTATCTTCCGTTTTCGAAGTAGATCGCAATAAAATATGTGTTGGTGATTCAATTCATATTTTGTCAAATGGGTATCATCCGCAGAGCATCGTGATCTACGCAGAAATATTATTCCATGCGGCGGTTTCGGGTATCTATATTTTGTTAAAGTAGTTTACAGGCTGAACAGCAACTGGCGATGAGCGACGATGCTAGCCAGACTTTTAGTCGTGTGATGAAACTCAAGTTCCCCGTGTATATTCCCCCTAAGACGCCAGTTGATGCAATAGAACCGATCTTCACCATGGTCGTGGCGGTCTCTATAATTCAATCTCAACGCAATGCGCAGTTGGAAAGCGCAACGGCAAAAGCCGATACTCAACATTCTTTTTTCCATAGCACAAACGCTTCAGTCATCGTTTGAGATGAGAGTAATCTCTCAAGACACCCATCATATGGGTGTTAGTCGTTTTGCCACTGCGACGAGGCTTCTTGACCTTTTTGTGTTCAATCTTGGGTCGAGCTTTGGTGACCTTATTTTTGTTCGTGGGTGTAATCCCGGCCTTCTCCAACTCCTCTTTGACAGCCTGCTGGTCGGGAACTCTGATTTTCTCCCAAATTTGACGGAATTCATCATCGAAATGTTGTATCAAGGATGGATCATTGGCCCATACCATCTTCGCATGGTCGTCTTTTTTGTTGCGAGTAACAAGAAGTTTTCCTTCTTTCTCCAACTGATTGATAGTGTCTTCCACGTTTGGCCAGCCTTCCCGCAGCTCACGGACGCTCATTCCAGCACCGGTAGACTGCGACTGGAGTTTCTGGAGCAACTGCTCAGCAGTGCGGATATTGTGTGGTGGGCGAAAGCTGAATGTGCCCTCTCCATTTGCACCGCTAGGATCGAACTGGACCTTCTCGTGCATCTGAAGGATGCTCCGTAGTGCCTGGACATAACCCTGATCATTTGCCCGATGTTGAAGAGAAAGGTAGGAGACGATATCCGTGAACCTGAGCGGGACGCCCTTGTTTTTCATATGCTCGATTGCAAAGATAACTTGCGTCATAATATCCTTGCCGGTGCCAGTGTTGGCAGGCTGCGAGTAGACGATATCTGCATCGTGCTTTTTCCGCTTGACATCGCCGCTCGGGGTGGGTGTGGAGGCCGAAGACGGTACTTGTGAACTACTGGCAGAGTTGTTATGGACGAACCGTCTCTGCTGCGGCATGCGAGCCGCAGCAGCCACGACTCCAGCGTTGAAGCTTTTGAGTTGCTGCTGAAGATGCGACATGGTTGCAAGTTATCAAGCAAAGCCAAACCCACAGTTGAGAAGAAAGGTGACGTGAAGGGTCCAGAAGTTAGTAAGATGAGGCAAGGCTTGGCTCACCGGAGCCAAACAGAGCTCAAGTAGAGGTCGCGATGGCTCATTCGAAAGTTCAAAGAGACATATGGTCACCTAGAGTTGTTCGAGTCCACCCTGGAATAAGCCGCACCGAGTAGGCCGTCAGCAGCCTTTGTTGGGCTTGATAGATGCGCTGTTCTTTGCGGCTGTAACCACAGGCTCCTGTTCATCCGGAGTAGTAGCTCACGTGATGACATCGGCGCGCTTAACCGCGTTGGGAGCTGTAACCCAGCAGCCCGAATGCTAAGCGTCACTCTTCATCCTTTGTCCATAATCTATTATTCATCTATCTACAGAGGTTTTATCTTCACTTTACCTCTGTTGCTTCTCATAGACATCTATCTTTTGGTGTCGTCATGAGCTAATTGCAACCTTGAGCGCTGTGTGCACGTGTCAAAGACTGTGCATGTCACACCTACAGCAACATCGTCTATTCACCTGGGTACACGACGATTGTTCTGGGGTATTCTTGGTTAACCGTCTACAAGGACAAGCGGTTTCGTGCCGCTGTTAACATACGGCGCCATGGCTACCGCTACGATTGAATTGCCTTACCTGTCCTCTCATTACTCCATCGCAGAGTCGACCCTTACCACTCTTACCCAAGCTCCTACAGTTGAATTAGTGAATCAACTCCTAGAAGCGATCACAAAAAAGGCCCGAGAATACGATGATCTGAAATCCGATAAGCTTCGCCTGGAGGTAGAGCTTGAAAACGCGGTTCGCAGCAGTGAGTCCAAGGTCAAGGTCTTGAAGAGCTCTGTCGAGAAGGGCCATGCAGAGGTTGAGGAATCTAGGAAAAAATTACATGAATCCGGTTTGTGTTATCAATGCTGTGCTGTGATGCAATTGCTTATATGCTATAGAAAATATCCGATCCAGCCTGGAATCCGAGATCGCCGCCTTGAAATCCTCTTCTACCTCTAATGAATCCGAAGTTAGCTCTTTGAAATCCCGCATCTCCTCCCTTGAAGCCTCAAACAGGGACACACTAGCACTCCTTGAATCAAAGTCTGCAGCATACGATAAGCTAGCGGAGGAGCTTTCGACGCAACACAAGAAAACCATTGAGTTGAGACGTGAACTTTCTTCTGCTGAGCAGAATCTTCAGGCTGCAAACTCGGCATCCGCGAGTGCCCGTTTCCGCGAGCAGAGTCTCCAACAGGACTTGGATCTGACAAAGAAGAACAACGAATGGTTTGAAACAGAGCTGAAGACGAAGTCTACCGAGTATCTGAAATTCCGGAAGGAAAAGAGCGCTAGGATCGCCGAGCTTCAGCGCGAGAATGAGGAGGCTAGTGCAACCATCGACTCCTTGAGACGCAGCGAAAATGCCCTTAAGAGCCGGCTCGATGAGGTGGAGCAGCGATATGAAGAGTCGCTTTCGAGCATCCAACAGCTTAAGGAGGAGGCTATCCAAACAGCTGAATCATTCAGAATTGAACTGGATAGTGCGAATAGGCTCGCCGAGTTGCAAGGAAATGCCGCGGAAACTGCCAAACAACGAGTCCAGGAATGTCAGTTGGCCTTGGAAAAGGCGAGGGACGATGCAGCGGAAGAGATATCCCGACTCCGTGTAGAGGTTGAAACAGAACATTCCGACAAAGAAGTCGCTGAGCGCCGCATCGCTGAACTTGAGCTCACAGTGAGCCAACTCGAGTCTGAAGGTGTCGCTGGAAGGAGGTCCATGAGCCCGGCACCAGGCTTAAACGGAGGGCCTAGCACGCCTGTTCGTCCTGGTACACCTGTTGGTACTTTTTCGCCTAGAGCTTCTCGAGGAAAGGGTGGCCTTACTCTCACGCAAATGTATACGGAATATGACAAGATGCGAACACTACTGGCTGCGGAACAAAAGACGAGCCAAGAACTCCGGTCAACATTGGATGAGATGGTTCAGGACCTCGAAGCAAGTAAGCCTGAGATTGATGAGCTGCGCGCTGATCATGCAAGACTCGAGAATGCTGTTGTTGAAATGTCCAACATTCTCGAAACCGCTGGAAAGGAGAGGGATGACGCAACAAAGGAAGCAAGGAAATGGCAAGGCCAGGTGGAGGGCTTAGCTCGTGAAGGAGATATTCTGCGCCAGCAGCTTAGAGATCTGAGTGCACAGGTCAAGGTTCTGGTGTTGGAAGTCGCCGTTTTGAAGGAAGGTGAAGGTAGCTACGACAGGGACGAGCTCGAGAAGATAGCTCGAAAGGAGATCGAGGACACCACTGCAGATCTCACTCCTACGGGACGCTTCATTAGCCAGAACTTGATGACGTTTAAGGACCTCCATGAACTTCAGGAACAGAACGTGACCCTCCGACGGATGTTGAGAGAACTCGGTGACAAGATGGAGGGCGCTGAGGCCCGGGAGAAGGACGCTGTCCGTCAACAAGAGCAGGAAGAACTGAAGGAGTTGAGGATTAGAGTGCAGACATATCGCGATGAGATTGCAAACCTTGTAGCTCAGACGAAGAGCTACGTAAAGGAGCGTGACACTTTCCGGAGCATGCTCACACGTCGGCGTCAGACAGTCGGTGATTCTTCTGCTTTCTCTCAGTCTCTCCCGCTCGGCGCCGCACCGCCTGGTGCTGCCGATGAGCATATGAAGGACGCACCTGATTATGCTGAGCTACTTCGCAAGGTACAAGCACACTTTGACAGCTTCCGCGAGGAGTCTGCCACTGATCATTCTGCCCTTAAACAACAAGTAAACGAGTTGTCGAGGAAGAACAGTGAGTTGATGAGTGAGATTAGTCGTTCCAGCAGCCAGCTGGGTGCTGCTACCCAGAGGGCGGAACTGTTGCAAAGTAATTTCAACATGCTTAAGAGCGAAAACACCGAGCTCCAGAAACGTTATGCCGCGCTGTTGGAGAATGCAAACCGTCAAGACCTAAAGACACAACAAGCAGCTGAAGATTTAGTAGAAACAAAGGGTCTTGTTGAAAGTCTCCAGCGGGAGAACGCAAACTTGAAGGCTGAGAAGGACCTTTGGAAGAATATCGAGAGAAGGTTGATAGAAGACAACGAGACATTACGGAATGAGAGAAGCAGGCTTGACTCCCTCAATGCTAACCTGCAGACAATCCTAAATGAACGCGAGCACACTGATTCAGAGAGCCGTCGTCGCCTGCAGCTCAACGTCGAATCACTTGAGTCCGAGTTGCAATCTACTAAACGGAAGCTCAACGATGAGGTTGAGGAATCTAAGAAGGCGGCCCTGCGGAGAGAGTATGAGCATGAGCAAAGCCAGAAACGGATTGATGATTTGGTAACAAGCTTGGGATCGGCTAGGGAAGAACTAGTTGGTATCAAGACAACTAGAGACCATTTGCAGTCTAGGGTGGACGAGTTGACTGTTGAGCTCCGGAGTGCTGAGGAGCGCCTACAAGTAATGCAGTCCAGACCTAGCGTGTCCGCTGCCCCAACTGAGGCGCCTGCAACCATGGAAGACGGTGCACAAGAGTCTGGTTTGACACGTGAACAGGAGTTGGGTATCCAAGTTGCTGAGTTGAAGCGTGACCTCGACTTGGCCAAGGGCGAACTTGAGCATGCTAAGGAACAGGTGGAGGACTATAGGGCAATCAGTCAGGGGGCTGAGGAACGCTTGGAGTCTGTCACCGAGACACATGAACAGTATCGTGAGGAGACGGAACGCCTTGTTGAAGAGAAGGATAAGAAGATCCAGGATCTTGAAAAGCGGATTGAGGAAATCTCGTCCGAGCTTTCTACTACCAATAGTGAACTATCTAAACTCCGTGACGAGCAAGGAGATGTTGCCCGCCGCCTTGAGGAGCAGAAGTCACACCTGGAAGCTGAGATCACAAGACTAAAGGACGAGAATGAACGCCAGCTTGCCGCAGCCCAATACCATCAAGCAGATTTGAAGGCCCAGGCAGAAATTTCACAGCACGCCCAGCAAAACTATGAAAGCGAATTGGTCAAGCATGCTGAGGCTGCGAAGAACCTACAGCTAGTTCGCTCAGAGGCCAATCAGTTGAAGCTTGAGCTTGTTGAGTCCCGTGCCCAAGCCGACACATACAAGAAAGATCTGACACAAAAAGAGGAAAGTTGGAATGAGCTGAAAGACAGATATGAAAGTGAACTATCTGAGCTGCAGAAACGCCGCGAGGAAGTTTTGCACCAGAATTCCTTGCTTCACTCACAGCTCGAGAATATTACGAACCAGATCTCTGCTTTACAGCGGGACCGTGCCAACATTCCCGAGGCCGAGGACGACGGCGAAAGCTCTGCACCCAATTTGGAAGGCCTTCAAGAGGTCATCAAGTTCCTGCGCCGTGAAAAGGAGATTGTTGATGTTCAGTATCATCTATCAACACAGGAGAGTAAACGTTTGCGCCAGCAGCTCGAATATACGCAATCCCAATTGGACGAGGCGAGGCTGAAACTTGAGCAGCAACGTCGCGCTGCTGCTGACAGCGAACATACTGCTCTGAGCCATAACAAACTCATGGAGACCTTGAACGAACTGAATCTTTTCCGGGAAAGCAGCGTTACGTTGCGTAATCAGGTCAAGCAAGCGGAAACTGCCCTGGCAGAGAAGTCTGCACGTGTCGATGAGCTTGTGCAACAAATGGAGCCTCTGGAAACGCGGATAAGGGAACTTGAGAATGTGGTGGAGACGAAAGATGGGGAGATGAAGCTCTTACAAGCAGACCGCGACAGATGGCAACAGCGAACCCAGAATATTCTCCAGAAATACGACCGTGTTGACCCAGCTGAGATGGAAGGGTTGAAGGAGAAACTGGAGACTCTGGAGAAAGAGCGGGATGAAGCCGTGTCATCTCGTGACACCTTACAGGAACAAGCGGCTGCTTTCCCAGAGCAACTGAAGCACGCAGAGGAGAGGGTGCAGGAATTGCGTGCAAAGCTTACCGAACAGTTCAAGGCTAGGTCTAAGGAACTTACTGGCCGTATTAACGCTAAGCAGCTGGAGTTGAATACAGTGGTGCAAGAGAAGGAAGTCATTCAAGAGGAATTGAAGATTACCAAGGAAGAGTTGAGCGGGTTGAAAGCCAAGTTGGCGGAGAAGCCAGCTGCACCAGCTGTTGAAGAAAAACCTGCCGGCTCTGGTGTTGACTCGACGCCTGCCTCTCAGTTCCCTGTACCAACCACTCAAGTGCCTGTTCCAAGTGACGATGAAAGAGTAAAGGCACTTGAAGAGAAGGTGCAACGCCTGGAAGCTGCTCTTGCCGAAAAGGAGGCTGCTTTGGCGGAGAAGGATGCTGCTCTAGCCGCTAAGGATACCGAACACGAGGCAAGGGCTAAAGAACGTGTAGAGAAATTGAAGGAGTCCTTCAATAACAAGATGGCTGAAGTCAGGACGGCCCACCGACAAGAGATAGAAAAGTTGAGGTCCAACCAACAAGCCGTATCGCAGCCGCAAGAACCGGGAACTCCTGTATCGAAACCAAATCAGGCCCCTGCAACCCCTGCAGCACCCGCGACTCCTGCAAAGACGGAAGGAGAACTACCGCAACTCACAGATGAGCAAGCCAAAGCCCTGGTTGCGAAGAACGAAACCATTCGGACCATCATTCGAAACAATATCCGAACCATGCTTGCTAAGGAGAGAGAGAAACAGGGGGCCCAGCCTTCAGCAGGTGTAAGCCAGGAAACCTTGGCCTCCATGGAGCAAAAGTTCAATGAGGAGAAGGAAGCCCTCAAGAAGGCTCACGAGGAAGGTGTTGAGGAGAAAATCAAATCGGCTGTCGAGCTATCTGATAAGAAAACGTTAGTTAAGATCAGTATGCTTGATACACGGTGCAGGAATGCGCAGGCCAAGATCGACGTTGTTCAGAAGGCGGCCACCGAGACTCCTCAGAAACCTGTTGTTGAGGTGTGGGAAATAGCGAAGACAACCAAGGCTCCTCCTCAAACCCAAAAGCTTGCATCGGTTGCATCCCCCGCACAAGTAGCGTCACCAGCGCCCGCGCCAACACCTACTCAAACACCAGCGGCAGGAGTGGCACCGACCCAATCACCGGCTCCAGCGCCGACTCCTGCACCCACTCCTGCGCCTGTCAACCAGCAGCAAGGCCCAGCAGCAACCGGTTCTGAAACGACAGCCGCTCCAGCCAAGGGGCCTGCCCCAGTCGAAGTTCAGGGTCAAGGAGGTGTGCAGCAACAGCAAGAGCAGCAGCAACCACCACAAAGTACCGACGGCACAGCACCGCCAGCAGCGAATGCTCCCGTGAACCCCTTCGGACAAAGTCAGAATAAACAGCCTGCATCGCTACCAAGTAAACCTCCCGCTGGCGCTAACAGTGGAGTTCTTAGAGCTCTCCAGTCTGGGTTGCCGGTTGCACGGGGAGGTCGAACAGGCGGGCGTGGTGGCCATCAACAACAAACTCCATTTGGTGCGCAGACTCAGCAACAACAACAACCGCAGCAAAACCAGGGTCAGCCTCAACAGCAACAACAAGGCCAGCCATCCCAACGTGGCGCCGGTCTCCCTCGAGGCCGCGGAGGCCGCGGGGGTCATGGCCGAGGTGGTAATCAGAGTGTCCAGACTGCAAACCTGCCACAAGGGCAAGGCCAGTCTAGCCCACGTGGAAACCTGAATGCTCACGCTCGCCAGTTCGTTCCTCAGGGAAACAAGCGGGCTCGAGATGATGGTGGGGAGGGTGGTAATGAAGGAGCTGGAAAGAGAATGAGAGGTGGTGGTCATGCAAGAGGTTCTTAAGACATTTGGTTTATTGTTTCTAGGTTTTAACGTTTATATCTCATATTCCATTTCTGTACCTTTATGCCTGAATTTGTTTTGACTGAGGACTAAAGAGTCTACGAACCTTCCAAATCATTTATATGCCCCCTTTAGGGAGAACGGTGGTCATAAAAAGACCTAATGATTTCCTTTGTTCATTGCATCTGATATTCAATGTACCTTGTGACTACATGATTCGGCGAATAGATATAGTGTACAGTCTATGTCTTCTAGCGACTGAATAATTACGCATAGCAATCCTCTTCTATAGCCAAGAAACCATATTTCATTAGAGTCTATCAGGGTATAAAGCGCATTTGAGGGGTAAAAGAAAAAGCAGAAAAGAAACAGATTATATGCATGCCTTGAGCCTGCATACGCCACCAGATTCACCTTCTCCTTCCACCCCCGCCGGGTCCAATAAGCCTAACAAGAGCCTCTCTCTCTTTCTGCAATACCATCAGTCTCGCATCCTCGATCACTCTCCCTTCTAACGCCTGGATCCCCTGTGTTGCAGCCGTTGCCGAACTCATTTTCTCCGTCGCGCGGGTGCGTCTTCTCTGTCCAAAGCCAGCTCCAGACCCCCACACAACAGTCCAATCTCTTATCTTCACATTGTCCGAAACCTCACACCCCGAGCAGATCTTCGAATGTGCGCCTATCGACACGCGCCGATGGACGGTCGCGAGTGCTTCAACTGTAACAGCAGAGCGAATATGTGCCCCAGGTAAGATCGTGGCTAGCGGCCCAACGGTAACACAAGAGGATATACGGATGGGCAATCCGTCTGGTGTGCGCGATTCTCTGAGAAGCGAGGGAGGCTGAGTGGGCGCGGCGCCGATGGTGCTTTTCTCACTGATGATACAGTTCTCGCCGATGACGATGGGTCCTTCGTAAGAGTAAAATTTGGCACGGGGATGGACTATCGTTCCTGCACCTATTGAGATTGGATGCGTGCCGTGGAGGATGACTGTGTCTGCGACTGTTGTCGTAGGGTGTGCTGTTACGGGGGCGCGGGGAGTCGGGGCTGGTGAGGATGAGCCTGATGCTGAAGGACGAACGTGTTGGGGTGGTGGTGGTTTGAGGTGAACTTGGCTTTGACGAGGGTCCATTATGGAGGCTGGCCTCAATTGGTGTGTGTGCTTGTTGCTATTGTTGTTGTGTGTAAGTTGTTAAGGCAGATAGTCAAGTTGATTCAATGATTTAATTGATTGAAACTAAGCTTAATTGGAGTTGCGGAGCTCGGAAATAACTCCGAGATTTGATGGCTTTATCTCCGTGAGGTTTACATGGAACATGTGACACTTTCTCTAGTTCATCTACGGAGTAATATGACTTTATGTCGACTCATATCAAGACTTGAAAGGTCTAGTTTCTATATCTATATATATAGCGGTTATCTCATCATCCCATCTGGGTATCTTCATCATAAAAAGTTTAGTCATGAAAACCAGTACCAGTTCCCAACGCTAATTCTCAGGATAATCAACCTGATCTATGGCCAACCCTTGTAATAATCCATTCAATTCACCGGCTCGCCATTGTCTTCCTTTGGCGCCGTGGGCTTTATTCCGTTCCTTTTACGCCATGCCCAGACTCCCCGATCGACCTCTTCTTTTGTCATCCCGTCTCGAACGAGACAGAAAGTAACCCCAAGCTCTGTCTCAACGTTCCGATTGCGCGCCTCATCATCGAAGAAGAGCATATCCTCATAGTTGATACCGCTAGCCTGGTAAATCTTCGAGAAATGTTGTGTCTTGTTTGCCGGAAAGATCTGAACGTAGGTGAAATAATCTAAGGCACGAACCGACTTCGCCTTAGCTGCGGGGTTATCAGAGAAAGTTGGAATGATGTGAAGGGCCTTGAGCATGTCCCGAGCAAGGTCGGGAGTATGGGTACGGGAAGCCAGAGCTAGCGGGATTGAGCGAGTTTTGCATGCATAGATGATTGCTGATACCGCGGGGTAGAAGGCGAACGACTCATTCCACCTGTCGCATGAAGAACGGTGAGTACTTCGAATGAACGGTAATGTTCATTGCGCAAAGGAGGTACATACCTGTCGGTACACCGGGAATTATTATCTCGTGGCTTAATTGGTGCGCTGACATGTGTATCCACCCAAAATGGCCACAGGGTGTAATCCAAATCAAATGCGATCAGCTTTGGGAGGGGGAGACCATCGTTGAAGGTTGCGGGGGCAGTAGAGGCATCCTCTAGGGGCTGTGTGTTGGTTCTTTTGGCGCGCATCATATTCATTGTTAATCAGAGTGAAAAAGGAGGTGTCTGTGAGTAGAAACCAAATTTCGAGAGCTTATAGAAAAGCCAATTCGAATGAAAACCATGGTCCGCCACTTAAGCCAAAAGTCAGGTCTGGAAATGATACCAAGGGTCACGTGCGAGGGTTGAGAGGACATTTATCCTGAGGCATTTAATTTAAATTTCCCACTGGTTCCAATTCTTTGGGCTTCGCTCTGTTTCTTGATTTCTAGGGGCCCAGAAGGAGTTGTTGATTAGTTTAGATTAAATCCACTTGAAAGGCTTGTCCTTTACTGGACCGCACTTATATAGCACCTAGTCCTATATAGGATATACTTAGTAGCATCGTGGATTGGAATCCTCCTTCTTCCGATCATAAGTGTTATTTCCTATTGTGCGATTCATTCATTCTTTTGAGTTGCACGTGACGATATTGATGCTTGCTTTGCTAGAAGGATTTCACGAAAAGTTGTCATAGGTCTAATGAATTGGCGGAGAGCCGTGGATATAGATTTATTTCAATCCTCTGCTATCAGCCACAAATGAGCTATTGGTCAAACCCGCCAAGATCATCGCATGTATTCGAATTGCACATACTCCATATAGAGACGACACATCCTTCAAATGAACTTTAGAAAGGATTCTACTTGGAAGGAAGGAATCCACTTTCCAGGTACACATGCAGTTCCGGTATCACTTTTGTATTTGATCCCGTGTCTTTTGGATAAAGCCACTAGGTCAACGCCATGTCCGATAGCATGCCGTTAGCAATTATTGGGATGGCCAACCGCTTTCCTCAAGAGGATTCACGCTCCTGTGGAGTATTGCATTGATCCTCGCAATTCATTGACAGAAGCGACATTTCATGACCGGCGCGTACCGATCCCTGCTTAAATGAAGTACCCTTTATTTACTCATCTTCAAGATACCAATACCCACCAGGAGAACCAACAGACAGCGCATGACAAGGATTACAGTCCTGAGGCTGTACTGAGCGCCGCGCAGACTAGAGACATCGCAGCCACCTTCACGCTGGACGCCATTCAGAAGCAATTGGCTTATTTGGTAAACTCTCCGGAAGATGATACTGACGCAGCAAAGTCTATTACAGGCAATGGGGTCGATTCAATGGTCGCAATAGAACTCAGAACATGGTTGATAAAAGAGCTTGGAGCTGACATTACCATGACTGATATTGTGGCCTGGGAAAGCTTGACTGAGTTGTCCGAGAGAGTGGTGAGCTTGAGTAAATTTGTCCGTGATTCTAAAGTAATCTGCCATTCTTCTCTTTCTCCTTTTGGTGAGATCTCGAGCCAACGTGGGCTTGTGATTATGTGAACTACTTTTCAGATAGCTTCAAAGCCTCTATATAGCTCATGTGATACAGATACCAGGATTTAGGAATCAAGCAGTGCGTCATAGTATGATTAGTCCCTCTGCTTAATGAAAGTACGTTAAACGTCTTATTCGAATCCATACGATTAATCATCACCAAGCATGTTACCAAGACATCTTTTCTAACCTTTCATTGTTGTCTCACTTAAATTTCGCCCCTGCCGCCTGTTTGTGAGTCTCTTGCCCCTTTTCCCCCTCTTGTTTGTTTGTCTTTCCCCCTCCCCCTTCGTTAGATTTCGAGCGAAGTTGATATTATCAAGCCCTCGTAACTCCCCCACAGAAACTGCATTTACCGGGAAACAATTGTCCGCACCAGCCCTACAAGGGACTATACACGAAGCAACTATTCTTCTCCAAGATCCTCCAGATCTGCTGATGATCCTCAAGACCTGTAATATCCATCTCATTCTTAAGAGTCTTCCTATCAGTGGCATAACGCATGATCTGAGTCTGCTGTTCAAGGTCCAGAATACCTTCCGCGCCGACCGCACCTGCAATAATTCTGCGCCATATCTCAAGCGTAAAGCCAAAGCGCCAAGCCTCTTTTTCCTTGCGGAGGGCTCGGGATCCGGGTGTAGTGCGGGTGTTGCCCTTTCCTGAACGGACCGGTTGTGGTGATGCGGAAAAATCGTTTCTAGTGAGTGGAATCTCAACACTCTCTGCGTTGGATGAATGAAGGATGGGGAAGTTGACGTCGAATGAGTCTGTGCCGGGGTGGAAAGGGCCCTTGCGGCCAGGTTCAGTAATATGGATTTCGACGGGGGAAGAAGGTGATTCCAGGGAACTGGGATTTTCTGTTGCTTCCAGGTCTTCGAACTGTTGAGTAATATCTTCGATGTGTATTGCGGAAGGATTGGGGTCGTCTCTGTCGTCGTCTTCTTGCTGACCTTGTTCCCTGTCTGGGGAGCCTACAAAGCTGTCCTTACCTTGCCAAAGGAGGATTCGGGAAACATTCATCATTTGCAGAGCAGTGGTCCATAGGTCTGTGCCACGCACGCCTTCGTCGTGCAGTGCTTCCATACGGACACGTTTCGTGAGTCTGGCGTATGCGGTGTTCTTCTTGTTCTGAAGTTCCCTCTGCGCAGCAGTGTCGATTTTGTGGTTAGACTCGGCGTTTGTCTGGGCGATAGTGCTCACAAGTCCCTGGGCCTCATCGTCAACCGAAAGGTCATCATCCGAGTCAATGCGAGCTTTTATCTTGTTGATGGCTTCGGCCTTTTCGAGGAACTCGCTCGCCACTTGAGGAAGAGTGTCGTTAGGAAGCCAGACGATGCTACTGCTGCGTGCGGTTTCAGGTAAGGCTAGGGATTTGCCCCCGGGAAGGAATTTTAGGAGCTGATCCGAGGTTCTTTGCATGCTCAACATACTCGCAAGGTGCACCGTGCCACTCTTTGCCATGTAAATGTTGGACAAGATGAGATAGGCAATCGAGCGAAGGCCACGGGTGCAGGCGAAACGTTTGAGGTCGTCAGGTGCTGCCCCTTTAACAGGATTAGATTTGGGCTGGCCTGGATAAAGCAGTCAACGTTTGCCTACGCGATGTCGTTGTTCGGGTGGTATATACTTACCAAAACTTTGTCGCAAAGCCTTCTTCCCCTTGTTTGGCGACTTTCCAGGGCGACTACCCCTTGTGCTGTGTTCGCTCTCCTTTCCTGTTGTGACCTTCACCGCAGCCGGATCTTCGATGAAGGACCTTTCTTCATTCTTAGATTCGACAATAGCATTAGCATCATCCTCGAGGAAGTGAAGATCACTTTTTATGTAAACACGAGCAAGGGTTTCCAATCCCACAGGTCCTAGAGGGTTACCCCCAAGATCAAGCTTCTTGAGCATATAGCAATTCTTAAAGGAGTTGAGGAACTGGCACCACATTGCCTTATCTTCAGGGCTCGGGCTGATATTGATATTATTGTTCGAGATGTCAAGCTCCCTGAGCTCGCCTGCGTTGAGCGCAATTACCTCGCCCAGCTTCGGTAGAGATTTAAGGGTGAGGCTGTTTCCCTGGATATGGAACTCGATCACTTTTGCAAGCTCCTCCCTGATACACTCGAGGAGATCATCGATGAACATAGACAGATCGTTGTCTGTCAACTTCTTGTTTGCAATGTCGATCTCCAACGTAGGATCTCTTGCTGCGGCTTTAAAGCCGGGTCCATCTGGTAGTCGCTTTCTCTGGGTGCGAATCAGCCCGTATTACTAGACTCGTTGATATTTCATGCGTCAAAACTCACCAGGTCCCTGGAGAGGACCCGCGCAAATTTCTCACCGTCAATTTTCCTCTAATAGTCATCAGGTCTCAGTATTTGGTTCAAGGGATGCGATATGGAGTATAAAAGTAGAGGCCTCACTGCTGAATAGTTCAACTTCCCCATGGTTGCATAGTGTGTCATCAATCCAAACCTTTCTTCGCGATAAGTATCGGCTTCCAATGTTATCAGGAGACAAAACGACTCTTATAAGGCTGTATAGAACCGTATATCAAACACAAACATGTTGATAAAAAGACGGGATTTGCAGTCTGACAAGACATGACTGCTTCGAACATTTCGGAAATCTCCGTACATGTCAAGTATAAAGGAGAAACATGGCTCACAGAGGCTTTAGGCAAGACAGAGGCCCTCACAGACAAGTATAGTATGGATATAACTGCTGTCCTACGTTAAGCAGAACATAGCAGACAAAGAGACAAGGACGAAGGAGAAAGACAACAACAACAAAAACAAAAATAACAATTAAAAAATGGGTTGACAATACCTGATAATTTTGTATCAAGAAAAATGAGGTCGCTGAACAAGAAAGCTACATAGAAAGAGACAAAAAGAGAATTAGTAACCTTGTAAGCATATTCTCGCGGTGATACCAGAGAGTATGTGTGAGTGCTGGATACGGAAGAGGGAGGGACAAAGTTGTCCTGTGACGAGACGTGATACTAAAACATTGTGCTCTGTTGTCATGCAGACTGGACTTAACGGAGTTTACCTTCAATTCACTGCTTGAACATGCACTTTTTCTATGACATAATTGAGATACCGTAAGGTTCTCCTAAGCGACCTCCTTATCACAATCTCGATATGGTGAACATGAACACAGGTCAATGATGGGTAATTGGAGCTATACCAGTATAGGAGACAGATTAACGATACATTAGAGAATATATGAAAGGGATTTGTAGTGCTATCTCAGGTCGGTAGGTACGATTAGAAGGTCACTCCAACCCTCGATTGTGATTAGTGTTGGATACTTGATACCCATTAGCCTGGTTTCCATTCTAGAAGAAGTTAACAATGTCTTTGAACTCATCCAACAGGGTTGGATCGATATCATCCCAGATGGCGGGCAAGTCAGTGGGTTCACAAGGCTGAGGATTCTGATTGTAGTCACTCAATGTGTCAGCACCGTGGTATTGGCTTTCGCTTGCAGAAGCCTCAGTAGCTTGGTCATCTTTATGTCTTTTCGTGATTCTCTTGCCGTGGGCTTTGTCCCCAGAAGTCAAAGAGCGCCTTCTTTTTTTCCCAATATATTCAATCTCATTCGTCTCAATAGTGGTTTGGTTGTCATTTTTGGCCCCTTGACTACCATTCAAACTCCATGCCCTTGGTCCAAGCACAGATTCCCTGGATGTCCCTGCAATCTTGGTAGACATTGCATCTTTGCCATGCACAAGCGAGTCAGGAAGCGAGGACGGCAGTGTAAGCCATGGCTCATCTGTGTAAATCCAATCGTCTTTTGTTCTGACAATCTTATCTAAAGAGAGCACTTTGCTGGCAGTCTGAGCACTTCGGCCTGTCAATTTAGTGGTGCTGCCAAGGAGCAAATCAGATGGCGAAGGTAAATCACTGAAGCTGTCACCTCCATAGTCGCTCGACGAGTCCTTAGTGTTAATGCCAGGACATATTGGGCCTTCAGAAGCAGCATCTCTCAAACTTATACTTAGTTCTTGTGAGGGGCTTTGTGGCATTTCTTGTGGCCCATTGTCTTTTGTACTATTCTTTTGAAACCATGTTTTACCGGGATTATCTATCTGCGTGCTATTCTTGGTGGTACTTGCAGATAAGGTCAATTGATTGAGTCCATTTGAGCGGTCAATCCCTCCAGCAGAGTGCTTTCTGTTCACCCTTGGTGGTTTCTCAAGCCCTTCCTGACAACAAAGGTGCTTACACCTATGAACTAGTTAGGTCTCACATCCAGAAGAGTGAGGGGAGGGAAGAAGAGGATACATTGTTTTGTCCTTGCACTTATGGTTGCAGCTCCATCTACCATTTTTAAGCTGGGTTGGCTCTTCCGCTTTGTGTACATCCTTCACCTCCTTAGATCTTTTGATCTTCTTACTCGTCCTTTCCTGTGGCTTATTCTCACTCGCTGGGCATGCTATGTGATTCATAGCTGCCCAATCTGTGGCTTTGTCTGCCCGTAATACCCTTAGACTAAGTCACTGTACGAAGGGGGAAAGATGAGGGATCGCACCAGCTTCCAAAAAGTCATTGAAAAGCGAGTCATCACTATCGAAACCATCTGGACTGCATTCTTTATTGGGTTTGACCCGCAAAGAAGTGTTGCTACGTGGGCGTGACATATTCATAATTTGCCTTTGGTTCGTCTCATCTGACTCCTTACTAGAACGAAAGGAAAACAACGAAGCTGGGAGGGCAAGCCTCAATTCTGCTGATCTCAAAGTCCCGGCTTCGAAAAGTTAGCAATACAGACTGGTTAATTTGCTTGAGAACCAAATGCATACCGATGTCATCACACATAGCATAGCACGTGATATACTGATCTGGGCTATTCATTTCTATGTGTAAAGGTATCTCCTGGCTACTTTGGACCTTACTTGCACTAGTTTGATGTTAGTCCTGAGAAAAGAATGAAATGGGTGACTCTTTCAACCAACCTCATACGCCGGAAATCGATCATCAATCCGTCAGAGGTTTCCGCTAAGAAACAGACATGTACAGGGCGCCTCTGAAAAGTTGTTGGGCATTTTTCATTCATAAATGCAACCTCGGCTTTGAAATGAACTCTCATGGGGTTACCGTGTTTTGTCTCCTACTGGGTTGTTAGCAACGCGCTCGGCGGCGAGGTAAGATTTATAAATTTAATACCTTTTTTATCACCTTGGCAGACACGCGTAACTTAGGGAACTCGGAAAGACGCCCTAGAAGTTTCAACCCAAAGGGAGGATTTTTGCTCAAGATCATGTCAATCTGATGAGGCTCTGCGCACTCTAGAGCTTCAATGCTGGTTATTCCAGCAGCTGCTAATTTTCTAACCGCGACAACGCCGATTTGCTCAAGTTGCTTCATCTGAAATGGAGATCTATCCCACACTTTGGCTCCGAAACTCCTTGCAAGTTCCAAGGCGTTTCTGGTAGCAATTGAATCCTGGAGCGCAATCTGACAGTCTATTATGCATCGAATAAGCCGATTAACGTGTGAGAATACGAAACCTCTGTCTTGCTGGAACGCAAACTTGTGTTTTTGGAATTGTTCGTTACCTGGAAACTCCACTGCACCCAGCTCAGACTGGATGAGTAGTGATGTTTTATGAGCAGGAAGTGCTATATCCACTTTTACCGGAAACATTATGCCAGTTCCACGGTTGATCTCTTTGAACAGCGACTTCTCTCCTGACTTGAGACGAACATCACGGAACTCCTCTGCCTGAGAGATCACGGAGAGCTGGAAAATCATTTGTTAGTTTGTATTATAGGTCAGATGTATGCCGCTTACAATTTGAGACATAGTGGCGTGATGCTTTAACGTGAGGAAGGTCTTCATCGTCTCGAACCGCACGTAATAACGTGCCATTGCATCACCAAATTGCGTGGACCTAAGGCGTTCAGTGGAGATTAAGTTACTCTCTTGGAGAAGTCTGATGTCTTTCTCACAGATCTGGCGAAGCATCTCGTCTTCATCTTTCCTATTTGCACCTTCCCTCAACTGATAATGTGTTGGGTTTCGTCTGAGCCTCACGAATAAAAAGGTGCCAGCAAGCCATCTTATAGCAGATTCAACACTTGTGACATTGCCTAACCCAATCTCAGCGTTCAGGTGGTCAATTAAGTTCAAATGTAAACAGCTTTCAAGGCTTTCAGAGCCTGAGACGAGACGTTCATAGTAGTCAACTCGTTCTTTTCTCGTTAAGATAACGGCGACTGCATCTTTGTCAAACTGAGGTCTCCCGGCACGACCAAGCATCTGCATAATCTCGAGATCCGAATATTCTTTGCAGCCGCCGTCCAGCCATCCGACAGTGTTTTTGATAATCACAAGGTGGCATGGGAGGTTCACACCAACTGCAAGAGTGGATGTGCAGCATATTATGTTAATTTGACCTTTTAAGAAACCATTTTCGATTGTCTGTCTGTCTCCGGAATTGAGGCCAGCGTGATGAAAGGCAACACCTGCAGCACTCGTAGCTTTAATAAACTGGATTAGCAACCGCGTATTTTAGAAAAAATTGAACTCGTTACGTACTTTTTAAATCTACATTACTGAATTCGAATGATGTGCTTGGTCCTTTCCATAACCGAGTTAGAGGGTTGGACATTGACCACAGTCGAGCAAGTTCCTTTGCCGTAGCCACAGATGAGTTCCTCGTGCAGCAGAAGATCATAATTGGTTTCCTGCAAGAATGTATCGCAAGTACATCAGGAAGTCTAGTATTCGTGGTCAGAGTAAATCTGAGATTGGGTGTGCCTACTTACTTCGAACTACACATCTTATCGAATGCGAAGTCATTTAACTGGGACTGATAGCCGTACACAAACCTCTGCAGCTTAACGGGACGAAACTCCTCACCAAAATGCTCCCTGTGTGCTGGAACATGTTGGTTCATCGCATCCTTGCCGAGCCATGTTGCTATATCCTCAGAATTTGGGATCGTAGCACTTAGTGCAACAAATCGTACATTAGACCCGATCGTCTTCATGCGTGATACAACAGCTTCTAATGTTGCTCCGCGAGACTCTTTGAGAATATGAACCTCATCAATTAAGAAGAGTTTCACCAGCTGCATCAAACGTGCGTGATCCTTCCATTTCCGTGTTACGCTATCCCATTTTTCCGGCGTCGTTATAATTATCTGGCTATTTTGGACGCTCCTCATCTGTGAGTAATCAGTGTCACCGGTCAACTCAGCACATTGAAGACCTAATGAGTGGAACTTCCTATTCCAGTCACGGAACCTTTCTGAGCAAAGTGACTTAGTGGGTGCTTGATAAATGACCTTGAACCTCTCGTCTTTCAGATTATTAAGTAAACGACATATGGCCAACTCCATGGCAACTGTTTTGCCACTTCCAGTAGGAGCAGCAAGCACAATGTTATCGTCCCTTTTGTAAACAGGCTGGAAGCATTTGGATTGTATCGCGTTGAAAGCAGGAAAAGGGAACAGCGACCGATATTTATCAGGGAGCTCATGTACAGACACAAGAACGATTCCTCGAACTGACACGGGCATGTCCTGAAACAGCGTCCTTTGTTCTAGAATCGCAGCAGCGTGTGATTCTTCGAATTGTTCAGGCCAGAGCTGATGATCATGGTGGCGCCCTTTGGAATCGCTATCTTGTGTCACGTATGGCCGGGTTCTCTCAGCCTGTAGCCTGAGCAAGGGACTAGAAGGCGACCTTATTTCAAAGTCTGAGGAACCAGATGCTACACTTTGATGCGGTGTGATATGAGGTTTATCTGACCCGTGTTATTCAGTGCAATAAGTTAGAGGTATTGACATCCACATTGAGTCGCAGACTCAAAACCTACCGCAAAAATATCGAGAGACCAGAGCTGGGGCGCCATTCTGGGGCACCTCGCGTTTGTGCAACTGACTGTCTGTAATTGAGAAGATAGACTGTCGAGTCCTCGCTGATTTATCTGACTGTGCAAGCAATTCCAAATCTTAATCCACTACATTTAGCCTCTATCCTAGATATATAGTCAATGCAATATCTGTTGAGCTTACTTACCGAATGCATCATAAAGCAAGTCGTCATCACGGCATAGTGCCTCCGGCCCGTATGTACTAATAGGAAGCTCTTCTCTGCGAGATCCGCCTAGAGATGACGAGTTTCGAGCCCCTTCGACGAATCTTTGATCAAGAGCAGTGCGCAAATTGGAGCGCATGGGTGTATGGAGCTGGGTACCCCCCGTCCCTCTATATGAAGTACTCTGGCGTGATGCAGGGAAGGGCGAGCAAGCTTTTCTTCGCATGATGCTAAGACGGCTGCGAGTAAACAGGGGTGAGTAATAGATAACCTGATTGAAAAAGGTTGAACGGTTACTCAATTACAGGCGGGAGAATAGGTCACCTGCTTTCCATCACAGAAATACTGACAAGCACGTGGGAAGCTGCCCAGAAAATGAGCAGTATGACAGTTAGATTGGCGCAAGTGGTCTCTGTCAGGGGTATATTCAGAGCCTCAGAGCGATATACACTTATACATTGTTACACAACCGAACGTCTGGTTAGGGTGATCATATATATACTAAAACATAAAACATGACGTTCAGTGGCCTTTTGTTTTTTAGAAAAAAAAAAAAAAAAAGAAAGGGGTGGGGAGGAGAGAAGATGAGAGACGAAGATGGTAGAAAACAGGACAGAAACAAAAGCCACATACACGAGAAATATGTCGACGTTAAAGATGAAACAAAAAACGCTTCGCTTCTATCCATGCTTATTTACTTCCCATAGGACTTGGTCAAAACGCAAAGCGTAGTATACACACTGCATGCAAATCTGAGTTCGTATCCGTATCGTCAAATCACTGGTCTCGTAGCTGCTTATCGAAATAGCCACCGCTGGCGGTCCGAGCTGCATTAACCCTAACATGGCCTGGTGATGTAGGCCTAGAGGTCGACAGGCCGGCATCAGACAGGAACGGCGTTCCGGGGAGTTTGATCGAAAATTCGTTCCGTGGAGGGGACGCGGGTGAAACTTCATCGCTTTTGGATTCTTTCTCATACTGGTCGATGCGAATCGGAGGCGGGCGAGGCCCCTGGCGCTTGCCGGTACTGGAAGTCGAACTCGGGTCTTCGCAAAGATAGGTAGCCACAAGCACTGCAAACGTTCCGAGGATAAACTAGAGGGGGGCCGGTTAGCACATATTAGATTCCACGGAGGGTCCATTCAAGAAAATGCTACGCAAGACGTACATTACCAGTGAGCTCAAACTCAAATAGCCAGGTACTTCCTAACGTAGTGAGAAAGATGCTGGTAGCAGTAGCAACATTCTTCGCATCTCGGTATGCATGGCCAATACAGAAGGATGTTGCAATCCCTCCGATTGCCTGAGCAACCACGGTAGACCAGGCGGCCCAATTATACCCCCCGAAGAAGCCGTTGGCGGCAATCTTTTCGCCGTCCAAGAAGACAACACCAATGAAAAGTGCGGGGAATACAGAGTAAACGGCCAGTTGGACGTTACGTACCCAAAGCGAGGTCGACTTTGCACTATCCTTCAGTACCTTTTCGAAATATACACCGGCAAGGCTGGATGCGACGCACGCGCCAAGAGTCGCTAAGAGACCAACAACTGCATTCATTCGCGGAAAGGCGGTCATCATGTCCTCCTCAATGCCCTCATACGTTGCCGAACGTTTATGGAGATTTGGCCGATCCAGCTTGGAGGCCTTCCATTCTTCCAGCGACCGCGGAAAGGCATGATGGGCGGCTGCCTCATCTTGGAGAGAAACATCCCCGGAACTGCTAATGGGTATCTGCACAAGCCCAACGCCCACCAGGAGGAGCAACAGCAACCCCCACCTGCGCAGTGAGATGTTCCTGTTCAGTAAAATCACGCTAAAAATGGCGGTTGCAATGAGTTTCAGCTGGTATGTTACTTGGAAGGGTGCCGCCTGCAAATTCGAAAGAGCGACGTATTGTAACGAATTTGCAAGTGTATAGAGGCTTGCGGGGATTACGAGTTTCCAACTGTCACCAGAGAAAACAGCAGCCGTGAGGGAGAAGAAAAGGGATGTCGCAGGAACTGATGGGGGCGCCGTTTTGGAAACTTCGTATAATGCTATGGTAAGGGAGATGGCAAGTTTCACAACCTCGTTAAAAAAAACCGCAGTAGACGTGAGATATCGCTTGCCATCAGTTGGCGGCATCACCCGTGAATAGTGTAATAACTGTGCAGGAAGCTGTGGATTAACGGCCTACCTTCAAGGGTACTTGGAAAGGTGGGCAACATACCAGCACAAATGTAGTGTACTGTGCCGTTAACTGCAGCCAAAGGGAACGTACAGTCAGCCAGAAATGGACATAATCGCGCAGCCATGCGGCTGATGCCGGGACACCAAGAGCATTACCAGAATCCATGAAAAGTTCTTCCCAACTGGCCCTGGCCCTGACGACGGGCGTTGTGCGCTTTCTCCCATGTTGATAATTTGGCAAGGTCGGTATTTCCTCAGGCGGCCTGCGGTCGGTTCCTTCGTGTCAATGAAAGAACGGGACAGGCAATCAATTAATATAGACCCCTTTTCTCAAGAATTCTATCCGCAAGTCGATAGGGGCTGGCCGTCTGATGTTTGCCGAGGGTGTTACATGCGACTCGTGCGCGTTGGGTCGTTAAGTCGCTAAGAGGGGGATTGTCGCACGACCGAGTTAGAGAAGGTCCTTTGCGCGTTCGCACAAATGGGACCCAGGTGGAGCTCGACTCCGGCGTGAAGATGGCTCGGAAAACAATAACTCACAGTGAGATAAGGGGGTGGTTGGCGGGAGACAAAGAGGAGAGAAAACAAAGCGTAGACTTAGAATGAAAGGGGATCTGAGCTGAGAGGCGTACGAGCCGTTACTAATAAAAGAGAAGATCTGGGGTCGGGTTATGGCATTCGTATTCCTTCATGTTGAACGTGATGCGGCGCTTAACTAGTTTTAGCGGTGTGGAGTCTTCAACTCTAGTGGTTGGTTTAGTTTTCCTTCTTTTCAGCCATTTGATTTTCATTCCATGGTTGGTGTCAAGAAGAAGTGGAATTAAGTCCTTGGATTTGCATCGACTTTGCTTTTTGGACCCATTTGAAGGCACTCTGACGTCAGCTGCCTAGAAATCAACCTCCAATCGGGCAGAATGCAGTGCCCCTTTGGGTCGACACGCCTCGACTGCTACAAGTGCTGGTAATTTTTGTAACTTCTCAAGCCACCCTCGTCGTATCTGGCCGATAGATCGCGGTGGGCCCCTTCACATTATTCCCGTGCATGAGATCGAGATTCAGCACAATGTATGTTTACACATGTACAAGGCACTGGCAAGAACTTGTCCTCGAGAAGAAAAGTGCCGGGTATAAGCTTTCAAACAAAGCCCTCTATGACTCTTACTTTATTTTTTTAGTTTCCCACTAAAATGAATGGATCCTAGGACATCCAAGGCCTCAATCGAACACCCATTATTTCCTGGGTTGTTTTGGGAGCTACGTATTATCTAGAAAAAGGATCTAGGTTCAGTTCACAGGCCATGTCCACGGGACTACTACTCAAAGTTCTCTGCTCACTACTGAGTACTAATCTATGTACCAATGAACTAGCGATTTTTGGTAGCCCATCATCTATCATTTATCCAGCTCACGCGACCTTTATACTTTCTGTACCAGGAAACCGCAAACAACTTATTCCCTTGCATATACGAGTAACCCCTCTATATGAGTTTCGTTTCAAATACAAACTCCACGGTTTGACTCAATTGCATTCCGAGATCGGCAGACATGCAAGAGCTATCGCAAGTAGAACCCTATCGTGTGAGAGCTTTTTGGCTTGTGACTAGCTTGGAGGCATAGAGTGGCTGAGCCTAAAACCATAAGCAGAGTATGCTTTCGAGTGCTTGAGTGGGTCATGGCTATTGTGCCTCTCGACTAAGGAGCCTGATCTAGAGGACAAGAGAAGGAAAATGTAAGGGATATATCCTAACCAAATCCCGGAAATAGCTGATCCCTCACCGAGTATACTGCACACACTGTAGTAATCCACTATTTACTACGCTTAGGCCTACGGAACCGGAAGGAAAACATGCGATACTAGAGATAAAAACATGAACCATATTTACATTCATGGATAAGTTTTATATGGACTTAGAAAGCTGGATTGGTCTATGCTTATTCCTTCCTCCTGTGCATACGGACATGGTGAGCAGTAAATACATTATATAAGAAAACGGCATCGTCTAGCCGGTCATTGTGTGGTATGTAAAAAAGAACAAGGAAACGTATAGATCAGCGAATGGTAGGTAATCAACCAAGATAGGAAAGGATCAAAGAGCGAGATAGTGATAGAGATAAAAGAGTGTATGGTATAAGTAGGAGAAAGTGTGAGACGCGTGTTTCAGGTGTATCAATCAATGATAAGACCTCGAGATATAATAGCGGATGAGCGATTCGTTCATGGCAGCACTAAAGACCTGAGTGTTGTGAAAGGTGACCGGTTACAGTTGGACTTTCAGTGTACTGCCGTCAGATTGACATTATCGTTACCTCCCCATCCTAATGCCCAAATCGGGAATTCGTCTGGTTCGGGCTTCCGTTCCTCGGAGTCGCCTAAAACGATGGCTTCACTACTATCTGTGCGTCGCCTCGAATGTCGCCGTTGAACTGATGGTATAGCCGGAGGGGGATTGCGTGGGGGCGGCTTTTGTGATGGGAGCGGAGAAAAGCGATGTATAGGAAGAGTCGGTGTCAATGGGGAAGCCCCACTTGTTGCTGGCGAGGGAAGACTTTCCGAATAGATCAAGCTAACTCGAGGAGACGCGCTCGAGTTAGTGGTTTTCTGTTCTGCATCAGAAGCCGTGCCCTGAGAAATGGAGCCGTCTTTATCAAAATGGTTTGCACCTTGATCTTTCCGTAGCATATTAGGAGGTAGCCCAGGGCTGAGTCGAAGGAAGGAGATGTCGGACCCGTAGAATGAGTCCCGCGAAGGCACCGAGAGCATAGAATTTCTATCAGGCTCGCTACTATCTTGGAAACGGGCTTCATGGAAAAGACTAGGAGTTATTTTGCCTTTCCGCTGTCTCATTGCTTCTAGTAGGTGCTCTTCTTGCCTCGTCACGGCTATAACTCGGCTTCTGCGGTTCTGCTGGCTCTGCTGGAGACGTGCCCTCTGAGAAGGTTTTCGTACTTGATTAGCCATAGGGTCGATATTGAGGAAATCTGGTTCTGATATCGTGGGTACGCCGCTCGAGCGGTGACTCCTCGTTTCAAGGGTTGATCTTCCCGCAGACGACATTGATGGGTTTCGTAAGATAGTTTGCTGTTGTCGCCGGACAGACTGAGACCCATGGCTACTAGCTGACATAGAGTAAGGCCTCTCAACTCGTCTCAGTGTTCCTTTCGTGGTTTGTGCCGCAGAAGCTGTACATATCTCAGCATCGAATTCACCGTAGGTAGTTACGCTGTCTCTTATGTTTTTGTCATGTTTGGCTGGCACTTCCACCTCGTCGTCTTCATCTTCTGATGATGAAAGACAAAGCACACTCGATTTGTTGAGGTCCACATTTTTCAGAGTACTTTTACTGCTCTTCTTCGACATTGAACTCTTGTAGGCAGAGGGGTTCTCGCGTGAGTCAGCGTGCCGTGCGCTCGACGAGTTAGAAACACGACCGTTGTGTGGGCGGGAGAAAGATTTGGGTGACAAGTATAGTTCCCTGCTCCATCCCCCGCCGGAGCTATTAGATGGAACTTTTCGCAAAGAACTCCCTGTAGACTTGGTATCACTTGCTTGTGGTTGCTCACGATCCCGTGGCCGTAAATGCAACTGACTAGACCGGGCCATTTCACTAGGCTGAGGAGTTTTCTGGAATTGACTGTACCGTTTCAAAGCCATATCCATCTCACTGGTGCGCACTGTTCTTTCAAGTGAAGGATCAAGCCAGTTTGTGATACCTGACTCGTAGGTCGGTGAAGACTCGCTAGCGACGTCAGTAGCTTGATGACCCTTGGTTTCGTGGCCCGAAGGAGTAGTTTTCGTGGTTCTCTTGGTAGTTTCAGGGTTATCAAAATTCTTCGATTTGACTGCGGGATGCTCAGAGGTCATTGATATTGCAGACGGCGAGTTCACCAATCGTTGCGGCGACAGAAGGGGGGCAGCATCCACTCGCGGCTTTGGGAATAGGAGAGAGAGATCTATTCTGGGTGGGCGCATTTTCCGTTTCGACTCCTTCATAGGGCCCTTCGGTTGTTTCAAACCATAACGTGGCTCGACACTGCTCTGCGCCCGAAAACTCTTTTCTTCCGTCGCTATAGAATCTTTTGTCGTCTTGCGACTTAGATTGGAGTCCATAGTTGAATTGCGAGAATTGAAATAGGAAAACAGTGTAGATGAGGAGCCGGATTGCTGAACCCTTTTAGAGTGCGTAGGAATAGGCGGTGGCATAGCATCTTGTGATCGATACTCCTGCCCAAGCAGCGGGGACGATGCTCGAACACGGAGATGTGGTGGTGGTAAAGTTGCTTCGGGTGTTGGAGTAGGAAACGCAGCAAACCCGCCGCTTTTCTTCGACTTGATATCCGGGGCTCTCATGAAGCTATTTCCTCGCGATCTTCTGTCTTCTCGCCGGGATTGATCCTGGGGTATAGGAATTTCAGTCGTACCCAATATCTTCTGAGCTTTTGACGCTGATTCGCGTCTCAAATCTTCATGGCTAGCATTTGACATATGCATCCCGTTCGACACCGCGTTTACACTCGATGTCCGCATTGGTATCGTCATGGTTTGTTGGGGCATCTTTTGAAGCTTTGATCACCTGAACTTCTGTTCTGAAATTTCCGCCTTACTCAAACCGGTTGTATCAGTAATTGCGAATGTCACTGGCGGCGGTTGTCGAACAAGAAGTTCTAATGCTGCACCGAAGGAGGACGAGGTTTTGTGTAACCCAATGCGTCTCAGGTGCCGGCTGACGTGGGTATAGATATGCTTTTGATTTATCTTTCTTTTCTTATTTATTTACCCTTGGTCCTGGATTGGGCTTTTGTTTCGCACTTGTCAACCCCAAAATAGTGTCCTTCCCCACAGTGAGTCGGTGAGAAGCTGTCGGTTCGATCACGAGCAACTTTTCATTTCTCAATCGCCACTACTCCATCGACAGCATACAAAATCCAGTTTGGAGATATTCAGGTCCCTGGTGCGAAGGGAGCAGCAAACAGGGGTTCTAAAAGGTGGGGAGAGTGTTGGCCCGGGCAAGAATTAGGAAGAAAAGCGTCAAATATTGTTGACGGGAGCGGGTCACGGGCGTCCTTTTAATGATGTAAAATCACAGCAAATAAAACAAGAAATTGATCGGAGACTAAGAGTCCGCGCGAGCGAGCCTAGGATATTTATTAGGCACTATAGTTGTGATTACATTTGGACAGCTGGAGACGGGGTGGGAAAGGATTTAGAACGCTGAGTACAATTAAATTAATCTTAGCTTTAAGGGGCTGAGATGGGAAAGAGTATCCAAAAAAAAATTAAAAGGGAAAAAAGAAAAGAAAAAAAAAACGCCCCCAGGCAATCTAAAAAGCACGCATGGACCAACAACTCAGTTACGCGCGATTTATTATGGAGAACCCGAAACAGGGAGATCCACGTATCCTCTACGCCATCGAGTGTGTGCTCTCAGATGGGACTACACATTTGTTGGTGGAGCATTGAGGGCAATACCAATAAAGCCCGAATAAGAAGAGAGAGAAATCGCCACAGAATAAGCTCCATCAAACAACAAACGGGGGTGGCCAACTTAAATTCGGCGTCCATAGTACGGAGTACACAACTCGATAGTGCTTGCTTTAGCTTCTGACAATATCAGTAATTATCGACAGGCACCACCCATGGTTCCATCGATTGTACTCAAGTCAGGAGTGGTTCTGGGTTAGCGCGGTGGACCGGCCAGAAACCGACAGAGTACACTACGTACTACGGAGTCCTTACTAGTAATACTTAGTAGGCGACCACCATTCCATCATACCACCACTCACGTAAAAGAAAACTTAGTACGGAGTAAAGTCGTGGTCAATTATCCCTTCCAGTGACGTGTGTACCACGACAAATGGTTTTCGTGGGGCAGTCTCTCATTCTGAATAGAATATGAAGGTACCTCGAGATGTTTCCCATGTTATGCGTATCTATATGGACAGTACCATGGTAGGTTCTTCTTGGTTTGGGTACACATGCAAGGTCAATTAATACAACAAGCATGATTAGGACGTTCCTTGAAAGGGTTGATTTGTAGCGGTTCTTTTCCGTTCTTCTTCCTAAAATCGAAATCCTTCTAGGAGAATTACTACCGTCGACGTTGACGCAGTAAAATTCAAATCAATCTTCCGCGGCATACACGAGGCGGGCACGTGCAGCTCCCACGCGGCTGTTCGCCGACAATCCCAATAATCCTTGGCTATGATTAAGCAAAGGTTGCGGTCTCCATTGAAATAACATTAATAGTTTCAATGGTATTGTTTTTGGTCTCAATATTCCCAACAACCTTCCGTGGTATAACAAAGCAATAGATTGTGTATGGTTTTGCACGGTAGGGGCGCCGAAGCCATGATTTCCACCCATTAGAGTCAAGACCCCTTTAAGGGGTTACCCAGGAGCACTATCGATTCTCCACCCGTTCTGACAACCACTCGATCCATGGGCTCGATCCCGAACTACGTACTAGAGTGAAGAACTCTTGAAAATACCCTTTAACTTTCCTCAAGCCGCGCCACGACCCTCTGCCGTCTTTCTATTCTCCCCGATGAGTACAACCAATGTTGATCACCATCCCGCGCGCCAATGCCATTCTTAGCCGTCATATCGGTGGAGTCACCAGTGCCCCCATTCAATAGTCCCATCTCAGACGAACAAAGGTTTCCAACAGTGATCACCGTTCCGCGGAGTATATCGGATACGTCGTCCTACACTAATGGGGAACAATGTGGTTTGTCGTCCGAACCATCTATTCCCCGCCGATGCTCGCACGACTCTAATAGGGGATTTACGTCTAATGATCGGGTTTTGGTGCTTGACATGCATGTGCTTCAAACCCAACCTTGAAAGGCCGATCCAATGTTGCCCAAAGATGCTGGGATCGTCGTCAATAGTCCGAGTCCATTTAATTATTCCCATGGCAGAATGGAATGAACATTAGGCCTCACTTTCCCCTGAGAGGCAAAGATGTGCTGTCATGAACCTGCCTAGTTACTAGTGGTTTCAGGCTGGCGACTGCATATTAGTCTAAAGCTCCCTACTCCACAGAGATGCTCTTCGGCATTGAAGACCATCTTATAGGCGTCGAGCATCCAAGCTATGGAACTTGCAAACTTTAACCCCTACTTCATCCGCTGCAGCCACAAGAGTGTATGTATGTATGTACATACTATAAAACTCAGGGGATATACAGGTCGCCCGTACTAGTGTCAAATGCGCTGCTCAGGCGGACGGTCGCCGAGCGTCTTTCGCAGATCGTGCAGAATGTCTGGGGGCTTTCGTTAGTGAGATCATAAGGCGCAGAACTAGTAACTGTTCGCATTTTGCCCTGATTACGTGCATCAAGGGTCTGTCCTATGGTCTATCGTGTATAGTGCCGATCTGCCAAGACACCAACACCTCTCTCTATCCAGCTTGCTGGGATCAGTTGGGTTCTCCGCAGAACAAAAATAGGGGATCAACTAAGAATGACAAATTACCTGTGTTTCACGTAAACACTTGATAGTAGAGTCGACAATAGGGGCTCAAGAACCAAAGCAAAAACACCTTTGTCTATGGCGCCTTCGACCGTCGGACTGCCGGGCGGCCAATTCCCCACGCGGGGAGTGAACTGAGACGAAGCCACAAAAAGGAGTTGCTCGCTACTGACCGGACACTGACAGGCGATCACTCTACTCGGCAGTGTCAAATTGCTCCTTCGCCAAAAATAAAAGTGCCACTATTCCGTGTCCAACCACGGTCTGATTCCAATGTATTGAAAGCTTCAAGCAGTCGCAATAATGGACTTGGAAAAGAGCCGCTCGTAACTGCCGGTCGCTACCAGTGGATGACTTGTGTTTCAACGTTAATTTTCTCTCTCTTTTTTTTTTTTTTTTTGGGTTCCAGTTCTCATTCGGTTGATCTATAAGTATGCCACATCCCTTACAATACAGAGTATAATCGACAAGGACCTGATCAAGCGCACAGAGGGTGGCTTGGATCCCACCCGTCCACTTTAGAGTACTCCAAACATAGCAACAATCGATCAATTACAGCCCACAATATCTGTACAGCGGCGGAGTACAGGCGTGGATCAGCTGAGCTCAGGCCTTCTCATGCCCCTCATTGTGATTTCAAATCTGACGAGTACCCCATCAGAATACCCCGTTCTTAGCTTTTGATTCGCCCCCATGCACGATTGCGCTGCAAGGGGTAATCGCTGATCCGGGCCCATCAAAGTGTGCCTTGCAGTTGATAAAGATCTCAACCTCTCAACGTATGTAATCGCCTTCCCTCCAGGCTAATGACACACAATCGAATGTCAGCAAACGTCCGAGAAAGCATATCTGCCCTACAGGATGATCCTACACCAATGACACATGAATGTAACCGAGGTCCTAGAGACATTTAGTACCGTGATGTTAAAAGATCTTCAGTGTTGCCGAATATATCCCAATGGCACTTCGTTTCTGTTGGACCACTACCCATTGTTTTCCGGTTTAAGCACATCGTGTATGCGAATATGCGACCTAACTGATACAAGTTGCACAATTATAGAACCCATTTTTTAACAGCCCACACTCAAAAGTAGAATACAAACTAGGTATTAGGCTTTGGGGTTGTCTGAAGTCTTCCCTGGACACCCTCCAGAACAACCCATCAGATGCAGATTGCTTTTGCCGAGGCGGCCAAGCCTCAGCCTTTAAAGAACAGCCTTCATGAAGGTAATTCTCAGTAAAAACACATTTGCCTCACTTCCCTCCGACGCCCTGTTCAAGTGCTTACTATGGTGCAAGCCCCTGAGTGCCCTTTTGTTTTTCGTTCCTTTTTTGGTCCGACACCAGCGCCCTATCTCCCCAATTGTTAGAAGACAGCGTAATGCCAAGATGGCCACTTTGTGCTTTCAGAAACATTCTCTCAGCCTAGATGCTCTCATGATCGCTCGTCTCGGCCCCAACATCGATAAGCTTGGAGTAGTTGCTTATCTTACGCCTTTTCCTGCCGCTACGTCGAGGTTCCTGACTACTTGATGTTCGTTGGCTTGATCCCCTGGCCTTCGAGTTCATGCTCTCATCAGTTAGGAAGCTGTTATGCAGTTGCTCCTCTGCAGCCCGGTCGTTCTTATCAAGGTCATCGGATTCATAGCTCTCATTTTTATCACAGTCCGGTAACGACTTTCTCTTGTGATCCTGGCTCTTTTGAGGCAGATCTTGCGGGCCTCCGCTGGAATTTTGTCTCTCATGACCTCTCAGCCTGGAGCCCTCGAATGGCACGTTCCCAGCTTGAACAGTAGGGACATCGATGGGGCCAAGCTCTTGACTGGTTGAAGTTGGATCTAGGCTATCCGGACAATTCGGATTCTTCAAGGCGTACTATGATGATCATCAGTATCCTTTGCTACCACTTTAAGACAAGTATGCAACTTACAAAATGTTTTATTTTCACCATGGGGTGAAATATTTCCTTCTTTAGACTTTGACGTACATTCTCTGATTGTGGGATGCTATACTTTGGCAACCCCCGTCGGGCAAATCCCTTGAGTTTATAGCCGGGTGTGGGTTGAATGAACCCCTTTTTCTTCAAAATATCGGTTATTTGGATAATGGTTTGTCCGTTACAGTCTGTTCACAGTTAGTTTGATCTCAGTACAGTTTTCTGGGTCATCTTACGGAGCTTTTGTGTAAATTCTGAGATCTTATTTGGAAATCCCTCATCTAGAATGACTTTCAGAGCTCTTCTCAGGAGCACAAGGCTGTTCATTTCCTGGAGTAACTGGGTATCACTTGGCCCCAGTAAGCACTTGTAGCAAGTATGAACGTCAGGAACTTTTGGGTCGTTCGGGTCCTCGAACCCATAGCACAGGAAGTGCTGACGCGTGCGACAGAAGGCACATTTTAACTGACAACGTTAGCAACTGCTTCTTCAACGCCCCCATAAACGTACCATATATGTTTCTTCCCCGTTCCACCCACACTGACACCTAACCAGGCCCTGAGATTGGGTTTCAGAATGAGGTAGGTCGAATGTCGGTTTTTGCAAACGTAGGTGTTCTCTAATTTTTGCAACCCGCTCCTCTGGAAGAGACCACCTTGAGTCCAATTGTGGTGTAGAATTATAATTATCCTCGATTGCAAGATCAGTGCTGATTGGCTGTGTTGGTATGAGGTCACTATCAGAGTAAGTAGATCCCTGGGTCTGCTTCGATCAGCTTTCGTATTATAAACGAAGTTATGATTAGCAAGATGCAGGAGCACCCACTTGCATCATATTCTGTAGCTTTCGCCTATCAGCAATATCTTGAGTTGCTTCTTGAAAGCTACTATCGTCATGGTACGTTAATGACCGGTCCAAAACCAGATGATCACCTGAGTCGGCGCCATTTCCTGCTTCTATACGGCACAAATCACTCGGCTCGTCGACAAAACCAATATCATCTGCCCTTGAAACCTCATCTGTGTATTCGATCTGTGAAGGTACCGTTGGTAGTGTTTCCGATCCCTCAGGGTCTGGCCCTGTCCATTTGAGAGATGTCACCCTAAGTCCAACACTGCTCTCGTTAGGTTGGAGTAATTTGGCAAGTACGGGACATGCTCACGTATGCCATCCACTGTTCATCGTCCCACACGACTGAGTCTCCTTTCTCCAGTTCTCATTAAGCGGATACTTTATGGTGTCGTTGTTTGCCGTAGTAAAGCCCGGAGGCTCATAATCAGAAGGGCAGTCTTCCGTGTAGAACAGGTTGACTCCCAGGTTGCGTTTATCTATACCAAGTTAGGCCATCGTTTCTGTGATTCTCGGGGGTCTACTGTACTAGGCAGAGTAGGTAGAAAGGTGCTGAGTGTTATCAAACGCCTGACTATTGTTTCCAGCCCTACCCTGGCTGATTGTGCCGATCTCATGTCAGCCACGTAACCCACAGGGTCTATCGACAAGCTTTCTAGGCAACTGTCCACATTTTCTGATCCTCCCGCATATTTGAAAGAAAATGTATATGACTCTAGGACATTTTGCGGCGCATCTTTGTCCACAAGGATAGTCAATTGGATGGCTTCAAGGATATTCTTGCGTAAAGCGTCGAAGATGCCGTTCTCCTACATCAGTTAATGAAACGCCTACGGAAAGGCAGAGGGACTGGGTATTGGGATAATGAGGGGAGAGGCAAGAGTGATCCACAGATCGTACCAGAACATCAAGTATCATGTCTGCCTTAGGATCGGTACCGCGTATCATCACCTTGAGTGGCTGGCCTCGCTTTCCATTACCGAATGCGACATCTGGTTCTCCTGCATTATTGCCATGACGTGATTTAGAGTCGAGAAATTCTCGGTATGAATATCTGCGTTCTCGTTGAGCCTCTTTCAGGTCTCGATCATCGAAGCAGGGAAGTGGTAAGAATTCCCTATGACGCATATATGAGAATGGCAGTTCGATTAGGGAACACGGCCAGCGACACGCACCGAAGATAAAACAATGTCCCAAACTATTCATTGCTCTTGTAAGCAAGTATCCAAGATAATTTGACTTGAAAACACTTACCGATACATGTAGCATAATTTGTACCATCTCTAAGCTTTGTTGCTGTTTCAGAGACAACTCGTTAGATACGGCCGACTTAGTCGAACTCTCAACTTCAGTCTGTATCTTCTTCCGGGTAGAAGTCGCGCTCTTCTTATCGTGAAGAACTCGAGCGGACTGTACCTGAACAGCCGATGCAGGCACAGTAAACTTGATACGAGCCATGATAGACAATCACGCATAGAAAAGAATAAAGCTAGGGCCAAGGAGCGGCGATTGTTGTGAGATGATTGGTTAAAATCCGTACTCGGCTAGCGGACTGTCTATCATAAATCCAGAGTCAAGTTGATGACATGAGGTGAATACAGGTTAAGGTCACGGGAGGCTCGGGTTGTTTCCTGTCATGAGCTGTTTCGGCTTCGTTTTCCCCACCGTAATGCAGGGATTGCCTTTGATTTGTAGCTATAGATTACTTTGTCCTATGAATTTAATGGATTCAATCTCCAGACCTCAGTTCCTTTATGCAACCAGTTCAAGCCGATGGAGAGAACAGAAGTTTGTGGCTCAAAAAGGTGAAGTTGAAATATAGAAGTGTTGAAGCCCATCAAATCCCGTGACTTTGGTATGCGAACCATCCATTTGTACCACAAATTCCGTTTTTGGTCTTGGTTCTCACCAGAAAGAGAGGTTTTTCAGTAGTCCCCACCGAGGATTGAGAACACCTCAGTGAAGGTATCCGACCTGTTCCAACTGTCCTGGGGTAAGAGGCAGCTCCACTGTTACTAGAAGACTCCGAGAAGCTTACTATGGAGGCTAAATATAGAAGCGGACGGTTATCGGGGACTAGTGGATGCATTGACGACTTGAAGAAGACTCTTGCAGGGCGATACTTAGGAGAATTTCTGGCTGGTATACGCGACCGAGGAACAAAGTACGGTACGTCTTTACCTTGGGAAACAAAACTCCGGCTGAAACAGCAAACTGGCAAATTTCCATGGTACTCTAGATTAGTCCTCCCTCATATAGAATTTTGTACGGAGTAAGTACGTAACTCTCTTCCCCGCAAGATTCTGCGGATAATGGATATATTATTACAAGACACTGCTCTGCAGTCACAGTTCTTGCCAGTAAATTTTTCTACAGATCTGTGACAATGTTCTAGTCTTCTTTGGTATAAGAGTAGAATCCAGACTGAGTACATACTTTAGCACAGCAAAGGTTTGGCATCTACTATTCTATTCAGGGTATTGGGCTGCCAGGTGCTCGTTATCGGAAATGGTATAGCGTATCATTTTCAGGAAGAGTATTCCCATGAACTCAAGATACTATAGTGTCAACCCCAGTACAGAGTAAGGAAGGCTCGAAAGTTAGTTCTATGGACAACAATCTGAACCTCGTTCAATGCTTATCCCTAGTATTATCTATATGCTTAACCCTCTCACCTTGCATTGCATCCCTGAGTCGTTTTTGATTGCCCCTGGTTTCCGTAAGGAAAAATAAGTGGGCCTTCGTTACTTTTGGGTCCACTATTATTGCCATTCTTTGCTTCATCCACTGTCGCTTTTGCATCGGAGAAGTCAGTTCCTTATCACTCCAGTCGGAGGCTTTTGATAAGTCCGACCTCTGCACCGTATTGATATTTTCGGAGTAATTCACGTATAGTGGCCCCTCCTTGAAGACCTACACAGGTTATGAGGTCCCAGTTAGAGTCGCCTGAATTTAGAGGCTGCTGATTAGAAGAGCTGCGTGGAAAGGCAAAAAGGAAAGGAAAAGAGAGAAGGGAAGGGAAACTAATTAAAATATCCAGGGCCAGAGGGCAAGTAAGCGATAATAAGTACTAGTATTATCAACCAAGTAAATCACTCATCTTGGAACATTTACTAGGCAAAAAGAGACATGTATCCATGGGTACGTGCACAACTTTTTGTAACTCTCAAGGTTAACCCGTCCCTCGTAATTAACGTACATCACTACTAGTAGTGGCGATTTAGCATACTATAGGTAGATCTTTGGGTCATGTCCATGCTCTATTTATGGCTATTTTCAAAGCCTCCTGGTGATATATATTTTTCTCGGTTCCATGCCCCAGAACACCGTCTCAAGTAGTGCCGGAAAAATATTTCGGGGGTAGAAATGCGCTTTTGATCGGGGGTTCTATACATAAAATATGATTGATACTCTGTTCGTGTTTTGTCTGACGTATCCGAAGGCCCATGGGTTAATTCGTTGTGATTATTTGTTTGTATTATTATTAGAAGAATTTCTGATTAATACCAATCTATTGTGCTTTGACAAGTCCCTGCGGGGGAGAGAGCCTCGGGAGTCCGCCCAATCGGGCTAATCCGCCCTAGTGTCTCCCTTGGGTAACTAACGGGATCTAATACACTGAAAAACTAAGCCTGACCACCGGAGGAGGCACGACCAACCACCTCCACCTCTCCCTCCGCCGCCACCTCCTTGTCAGCAGAGCACGCCACGGCTGTCTTTTTTTCCCTCACCCACTTTTCTCTATATCCTCTATTTCCTTTTCTTAGTCAAGTACGACACGCCGTCCTTATGGCCGTGTTTTAATCACCGTTTTAACCCTCTTCGGCACTTAGATGGTTCTTACAGGCGTGTATGTACCGTGCTGACCGCCCTCGATATACCGGATCGTTTCCCTGTTGAGCATCGCCGGCTTTTTTGATAGCATCTCACTCTTTATGTTTTGTTGTTGTTGAGTACGAATACAAATATAACGACAGTATCTTGATGTCCCTATAACCACCGACGTCGCCGAAGTCGAGTCCTTATCAGTACAAGGAGACGCGTCTTCCGTGCACCTTAGCTAGACAGTTCACTGGATCTTCGATATAATCGCGCTGGACATACAATATGGACGATCAGGACAATAACAGTGGGCATGATAATGTGCCAAATACCGGCTCTGTTGGTCAATTTTCATTTGCCCCTGCTACCCGAACTACCGTTGTGACTACTACGACTACTACAACTACGACTTTCCCTCCGTTATTTATAAAGCCACCCCGCGCAACGCGAGAACTTGACCCTAAATTGTACCCTCTAGCATCATCTCCCACTCCTTCGTCGCTGAGAAATATTAAATTTGAGATCGGGGGTCATTCCGTCGTGTTCAATGAACCAGATGATACTACAAGCGCTGTCAATGAGGTACGTTCCTTGCCCAGTTGTGGTCCGGTTCGGCTATCCTGCTCATCATTTGGTCTTTACTAATGCGCTGCTTGTAGTTGAGGGAAAAGGACGATGCGTTGAGAGCGTCCAACGGTCTAGTTCGATCTGTGACTTCAATTTGTTCTGGTGATACTCAACTTCCCCGTCGGTTTGCTCCTCCTAAAGGGCCTAGTCAACTGTCCAGTCAGCAGTCGAGCTCCAAGCAACGTCGTGCGCTAGCAGTCTCAGAAACTCGTCAGGGTTCTTTGCGACCGTATCCTGCCAGAGTTCCATCAGAACATTCGATTCGCTCGACCCGTTCACATGGCTCTACACCAACGCATCCTGTGGTGGCTGGTTTGGCGACGCCTGAAACGGAAAGCAACAATTATAGTGCTGGCGAAAGTGTGCTACCTAGGAGGAGAATTCACAGTGCGAATGCCTCTCGCAGGGAAACGCTGCTACGCTCACCTTTGTCTTCCGGAGTCGAATCCCAGGAGGGCTCCAGAGCTCCCAGTACCAGAAAAGACCAACCTGAATCGACTGTTGTTCTTGAAAGGAGTAGGCGCTTGGCTCGTCCAGAGGGTGATCCAGGCAGGCTAGCCATCCCGCAGGAACTAGAGGCAGGCGGCGGACCAGAAGACGAAACGGGAACTTCGACGAGCCAAGATACTGTATATGAAACGTCTCAGGAAGCTCCCCAACAAAGTTCTCTGGAGTCGACATCACAATTCACAACTGTTGGTGGCGTGACTGTTCAAGACATGTGCCTACCAAGCCCTAGCTTGTCTCCCGTGGCTGCGATGAATGCAATGAATGTCGACTCTTCCTTTGATTCGGCTGAGGACCCCGAAGCTGATACAGATTCTAGCTTTGACAACAACGATCATCGCATTGTGAGCTCTTTACGTGCAGAGGACCCTAAGACCACTGCACCGCACCGTTCCAGGCCTAACATTTTACCCACGGGTTCTGATACACTACGGCCGACATCGTTGATGGATATCCCCAGTGTTTTAGACTTCTTTGACTCGGTTCCCGAAGGGCTGAAGACCTACCTCATGTACCAGTTGCTGAGGCGGTGTCCGAAGCCAACTTTGCATTTCGTTGCTGATGTCGTTAATCCGGCCTTAAAATGCGATTTCCTGGCTCTTCTGCCCCTTGAACTAACCCTAAATATTGTGAAGTACTTTGATGCCCAGACCATGTGTCGTGCTGCACAAGTTTCTAAGAAATGGAGGCACATTATCAATTCCGATGAAAAGAGTTGGAAGGAACTTTTCGATAGAGAGGGATATGTTCTCCCAGAAGGAGAGCTGGAGCGTGCGATCAAGGAAGGGTGGGGTTGGCAGTTTCCAAACGGGGTCGAAGATTACGAGAAGGACTTAAGTGTGTCGTCTCCTGTAATTAAACCTGATCCCGAGTCCGGTTCTCCTTCTATGCAACCGCTACCAGGACCTAGTGATAGGCCTTCGTCTGCGCATCGCCGCCCGAAGAGAAAAGCATGCACACGTGTCTCAAGCCGTAAGCTTGCAAAACGAAAAATATCATCCAGCGGGACCGATAATTCCGAATCTTCTGATTGGAGAAAGTCAGTCACTGCGGCAGAAGGGCCCTATGCTGCCGCGAACGCTGCAGCTGCAGCTGTTCCATATCCAGATATTGGCTTACCGTCCCTGCGAGGGTTGCATCTTTACAAATCTCTCTATCAGCGGCATCACTCAATTCATAATGGTTGGATGAAGCCCAATGTGAAGCCACGCCACATCGCTTTTCGCGCTCATGACCGTCATGTTGTCACTTGTCTTCAGTTTGATACGGATAAGGTTTTGACTGGTAGTGACGATACCAACATCAATGTTTACGACACTAGGACAGGGGCTCTGAGGGCGACGCTTGAGGGACATGAGGGTGGTGTTTGGGCTCTCGAGTACTACGGCAATACTCTGGTTTCTGGTTCGACCGATAGATCAGTGAGAGTCTGGGATATCGAAAGGGCGAGGTGTACTCAGATTTTTCACGGTCATACGTCCACAGTACGATGTTTACAAATTGTTCTACCGGTAGAAGTGGGGAAAAAGGCAGACGGCACCCCTGAGATGATGCCGAAGGAGCCCTTGATCATCACTGGCTCACGAGACTCAAACCTTAGAATTTGGAAGCTTCCCAAACCGGGTGATCCTGTCTACTACCAAACCGGACCACATGTCGATGATACTGACTGCCCTTACTTTGTCCGCGCTCTTACAGGGCATCAGCACTCCGTCCGCACGATCGCTGCGCACGGTGATACCCTAGTTAGCGGAAGCTATGATTGCACGGTGAGAGTCTGGAAGATATCCACCGGAGAAGCTCTTCACCGACTCCAAGGCCATTCCTTGAAAGTGTACAGCGTGGTACTAGACCACAAAAGAAACCGTTGTATTAGTGGCTCCATGGACAACATGGTGAAAGTGTGGTCCCTCGAAACCGGATCTATCTTGTACAACCTTGAAGGCCACTCTTCCCTGGTTGGGCTGCTTGACCTGAAGTGTGATCGACTGGTCTCAGCAGCCGCAGATTCGACTCTGAGAATTTGGGATCCAGAAACTGGTCAATGTAAAAATATGCTGAGCGCTCATACAGGTGCGATCACATGTTTTCAGCATGATGGCCAGAAGGTTATCTCAGGATCTGATAGAACATTGAAAATGTGGGATGTACGGACTGGAGAGTGCGTGCGAGATCTTCTCACCGACCTTAGCGGGGTATGGCAGGTCAAATTCAATGACCGGAAATGTGTGGCTGCGGTGCAGCGTGATAGTTTGACTTATATCGAGGTAGGTGCAGTTTATTAGATTTTTGCTTTCCCCTTTGCTGACTTGCTTCTCGTGCAGGTTCTCGACTTTGGTGCTTCTCGCGACGGGGTACCAGAAGATCAGCTAGGCAGACGTATAGTTGTTGATCGCTGGGGCCAGGAAGTCAGCGATGCCGACGAAGACTATGATCTGTCTGATGCCTGATACTATCGCAGCAGCCGGAGTTCGCTCTCGTTTCACCGCTTGGTAGGGCCCTGTATACCGCGCATGGCCCTGCGTTGATTAATATCATCACCAACGGTGTTTTCTTTCTTTTCTGGACTTTGAGGCATGAAACATTAATGATACCCAATATCAAGGAGTTGTTCTCTTCATTACACTTTGCATAGCGCGGTTGGCATACTTTTGATATGCTGTTATGATGAACAGGCGTTTTGGTATCCAAAATGATTATTTATCCGACTCTTACTACATTATATCTTACTATGACCGAGGATCCCCCCCTTTACGCATGTTTCGTGCCACTGCTATATTTCACTCTAAATTTGATCACCAAAGACAAGCGCATCAGCTTTTCCGAAGCTGTTAGCAGATTTTCCTGTATGCCCTGATAATCGGTTCTTATAGAATACATACTGTTGACAATTTTCCCTTATCGCGTCCTATTAGCCACGAAATGAGAGCAACGTTTCGGTGATATTATTATAAAATAGCTCTAAATGCTAGCAGTCTGGGTCTCAAGTCTACATCTACCTCATCAATAGACGCAATGCAATCATTGACGATGAATAAGCATAGGTATGCATGCTTGGATCTCTAGGTTCCGAAGGACCAATCTTCCAACGTCATGAGATTCGGCCCATCCCATGTTCCCCAGGACAAACGGTTATTCAACAACCATGTCAGCTCAATAGAGCCACCTAGGCTGAAAATGCAGGCGTACTCTATATCCGATGGTGGCTTCACAAGACACATAACTTCGGTGGAAAAGTTTAGCTGGGAGGAATCCGCCGTAAATTGCGATGTTGACGGACGGGAACCTACAACCCTCAAAGCTGTTACTAAGGAGTAAGCACTGCTTGCAAGGTTTAGCAAATGCCCCCGCTGTTTGATTCACCTGTAATTAGATATTATACCCAAGTCAGCTCCGCGGTTTAACTGACCCCTTTTCCAGAACAGTGGTGCATTTTGAATCACATTTCAAGATGCAGCGGTAGAGATGTTAGCAACTTGCGACCCGGTGGGTACGGGTTGCGCTCTCAGATTCCCGTCAAATCCAGCAGCCGACAAGATAGCCCAGCGGATTGCGCTAATTCCTAATGACTTGCCGTGGCCGATGGGCGTCTCTGCACTGCATGTCAGGATCTCACCTAGGGCACCAGGCCCTTCTAACCGACCAACGGGTTGAAGAGTTGGTCTATAACTTTGCAACAAGTTCTGTAGTGTAGCGACTTTTGCCGCTGATGCTCCGCTCTTGACTTGGCTCTTCTTCTTGGCCAGAATTTTATCCACTTTTGACATGATGACCTGGTGCGGAATGGCATATTTCCGGAAAAGCATGAGGATATCCTCGTCTGTCTTCTTGAGACCATGTAAGCTATCTATAAGGAGAAAAGCCCGTCGAAGTCTGAGATCGTGGGTTTGCGGGTCAGCCTGACTGGATCGAATATCCCCGAATACAACCCGGGATGCACTCACTGCCTCCGTCCCTGAAGATACTTCATGATCTCAACACCCCATTCAGTCCTACTCGCCTTTCCATACCCCGGCATATCAAGCAGAACAATTTTCGACTCGCCGCCTTTCGTACCTCCGATACCGAACGCATTCATCTCTCTCGTTCTCCCCGGTTTTGAAGACGTCCAACATATCTCCTTGCCCATGATTGCGTTCAATAACGAGCTCTTTCCGACATTCGAGCGACCAAGGAAGGCAACTTCAGGCTCCACTGATGACATAGGAGTGGTACGGAATTTGCTAGCGGACCATATTTTGATCGGGGAGTGGCGAGAGGGTGCGAAGAATTTGTCGGCGTAGGTTAAATCAGTTTCATTTGGTACTCGAGTATCCCAGTAGTAGGAGATATCTGCAGGAGTTAAGTCATGGAGCGAAACTTTGTTCGGGTTCGAGGGAGGATTCGGGGTGATGACGGTTGAAAGTGCTCGTCGGAGAGGGAGGGGAAGTCGTTGACGCGAGCAAGCTGTACATCTGTATATTGTGTGCTTCATGATGAATTCACCAATCCTGGTACTATGTGAGAGCGATACGTGGAGTGTCAAGATATAGATCAGTAAAGAAACAGCGTTGTGTTTGCGCTCCAAGAGCTTCTCCAGATAAAATCCAAGATAAGAAAGTCTTCCGAGCACTGACGAGTTCTCGGAAAGGTACTTCTGCCGACATGCCGCCCCGCGGATTTAGGCCGATAAGAGAGCTTACAATACGGAGCAGCTTCAACTGATATCACAACTCCATTTTCTCCGGCAGTTTCGGGTTTCAGTATTCTATTATTTCTCTGCGTAGTTGAGTATAGACACGCTATTTCATAAAACGTCAACATGATCAACGCGGTTCTCGTCTTCAATAATAATGGACAGCCGCGGCTGAGCAAGTTCTACACCCAGATTGTAAGTCGGTTAATCATCCACGTCCTTTACTAGGCAAACCAGCTAATACAAGATGAAATTGGACATAGGATACACAAACAAAGCAATCACTTATACAAGAAACCTACGCTCTAGTCGCTCAGCGCCCACCAAGCGCTTGCAACTTCCTGCCTCTGCCTCCATTGCTCTCTCGGGGTGCTAGCTCCGGCGCAGAGGGCCCATCCGATGCCCCGACACAAGTGACCTACCGGACATATGCGACTCTTTCTTTCATTATGATCTCAACATCTACTGAGTCCCCGCTTGCACTTATTGATCTAATTCAAGTCTTTGTCGAAGCGCTGGACCGTATATTCGAGAATGTATGCGAGCTGGATCTCATTTTCGGTTATGAAACGATGCATGCGGTGCTGAGTGAGATGATTGTCGGTGGTGTTGTTGTCGAAACGAATATCGATAAGATTGTTGCTGGTGTGCGGAGTCAAGAGGGCTCTCTAGGGAAGAAGAAGGCTATCCAGGCGGCAAGTTCTAGCGTAGGGCGCGGTGGGTTCCCTGGTATAGGTGCTTGGCGGTGATTTGCTATGATATATATATTTCTTTTCTCTTTCTACATTACAATATGCATTTTTGGTTTGTGTATTGGGATGTTATGGATTGGAGTTTAGGCGAAACGTTGATGTGATGGTATGTTCCTGACACTTGCTATTATGACAGACGAGAATCTGACTAACAAGGGAAATAGTAGCACCGTGTCAGCTAGAGAGGCTGGAATCCATACGCTGTCCAGTTATCAAGCACTTTTCGCTTAACATCCTCCGGGTAGGCACCCTGGAAAGAACCTTCTTTCCATGGCAGCGTTTTTTCTGTAAATTCACTGGGCAGCATGCAGCATTTGACAACCTTCCCGTTCGTTCCGGACTTGGATGGCAAGCCGTGTGACACATAGGGTATGAGGGGGATGTTAGAATATTCGGTGAAAATGAACTCATGCCTGCCAGGTTCACAGCGTGTTGCTTCAGCCCAGATGACATCTGGGAGATTTGTTGGATCAATGTAGTCATTTACCAAGAAGATCTTTGGGATAAACCATCCTGGCTTGGAACCGAATACGACATGCCCTAATTTGCGGCAGAATTCCTCCATATTCGTGCGCATTTCCACAAGTTTCGAGTGATTCACCTGAAGAACGAACCACAAGCAATGTGATTCAAACGGACACCAAACCATATTGATTGGGAGGCCGGCCTTTTGACAAATGTTGAGGACCTCCGCAGCTTGCATTGTACACCAGATAGTGGAATTTTCGTCTGGAGCTCGGCCTGCGACGCATATTGGAAGAATCGGGTCATGACGGTATGTAATGGTGTTGACCTTGAAAATAGGGCACTGGGTTTTGTGTCCGGGGAAAACCATGCCATTATATTCGACCATGGGGCCTTCTGGGGCAGTTTCACTAATCGAAACCACACCTTCAAGGACAATCTCTGCATTAGCCGGCACCCAGAGATCGTTTGTTTCACACTTAACAATGTCAACTGGAGCGTCGGTCAAGGCACCAATGAATTCCGGCTCGTTGGTCCACTTGGGAATGGGCATGCCGCCAACCATGATAGCTGCAGGCGGCACTCCGAAACATAAAGCCCATGGCATGTCTTCGCCTTTCTCCTTCCAGAGATTCCATATCGTCCCAATGTCCTGTCTTGGAATCACCAGTCCAACCAGCTCACGCTTGCCGTGAACCATGCCCCTACTGATGGACCAATTAGTCCATTTCCCATCAGGGCTCTGGACGACATGCATGCCCATTGTTTCGATGAATTTGCCTCCATCATGCTCATGCAAGAGTGGGACAGGCAACTGTGTCAGATCTATATCGTCACCATGAATAATATGGTCTTTGACGGGGCCCGACTCGAGTTTCCGACATGGGATTGGAGGCTTTGACTTGGCCTCATTGATCTTCTGGACGATCTCGTGGCCAGTAGCAGATGATGGAAGCCCAAGCGACTTAGCCAACCGACAAAGCTGCATCCCAGGACGCTTACTGTACCCTATGGAGGCTCCGAGGACGCGAAACAACCCGTCATCCTTACGCCCTTTAGGGTTTGTGAACAACGGGGCTCGCTCTCCAGTTTCACACACTTTTCGCACGATGGCTGCGAGCTCCAGGTTGGGGTCGACTTCTTTGGTGATTGTCAAGAGCTCCCCTTCATCTTCCAGCTCCTGGATGAAACGGCGGAAGTCTTTCGCGGCAGCAGTGTGGTCCATTTTGCTTGGAAACCGTAGATACGGAATCAAAGATAAGACTAAATAACAAAATTAGACAAAGACCGATCCCTGTATTCGTGACAAGCTGAAAGCATTAAAGTTTACATCGTAATTTCATTCTACTTAAATAATAATAATAACCCCTGTCTCGTGAGCTATGACATACATGATACTATAGTCTCTGCATAACTCAACGTCAGCGTGCAGTCGGAACAATCAACCGAATTACCCCAATTTGGAGATCCTGAGACGACCACGTCCACCCCAATTTTGCTATTGATCGGCCCCGCAGCCGAGCAGCTGACGTATAATAGCTAGGACATAGCTGTATAATCTGCTGCAAGAATATTAAATGTCGTCATCTGGCGTGGGCAAGCGCACGCCCTTTCTCCAATCCTTGTTCTCGCCTGGATAGACTCTGAATGTCACGGCAACAATGTGGGTAAATAATTACCAAAACGTTGAGGATATTTCTCAATGCTTAACCTGGAACCCACAAGAAAGATAGCTATAGGCTAGTTCTGTTCGTCTGTCTTATAGTATACCTGCAAAGGCATAGAGTATAAGGCCGACTCTGCAGTCCATCCCAGACTCCATCCTCAGAAAACTGAATTGCAGTACAAGATGGGCTGGATTGGCAGTGCCATCATCGTCCTTGTAGGGAGCCTTCTCTACCTAACAAACCGTTTCCCTAATCTACGCATATCTCATTTGTCCCATAAATGGGACACAAAAGCACCAGCCATGGCAATGACAGAAACAAATCCACAATCAACACGTCTTCAAACCCAACCAACCCGGCCAACCCGGCCAATGCGAATCATCGTCGCAATGACAGGAGCAACGGGGGCGATCCTTGGCATTCGCCTCCTTGAGCGCCTACGAGAAATGAACGTCGAAACGCATCTAGTCATCAGCCGCTGGGCGGTCGAGACAATCAAATACGAAACCAAGTATACAGCGAACGACGTGCGCGCTCTTGCTACGCGATGCTACCCAGTGAATGACGCCGCCGCAGCTATATCGAGTGGCTCGTTTCAGGCAGATGGGATGATCATCGTGCCGTGCAGTATGAGGACGCTGAGCGCCGTGCGGACGGGGTTCGCCGATGATTTAATCTGCAGAGCGGCCGATGTAACGTTGAAGGAGAGGAGAAAGCTTGTATTGGTCGTGAGGGAGACGCCGCTTAGTGGAATTCATTTGGAAAATATGTTGGACCTAACCCGTTATGGAGCGGTGATCTTCCCGCCCATGCCTGCCTTCTATACGATGCCTGAGAGCGTGGATGATATTGTTACGCAGAGTGTGGGGAGGATGTTGGATATGTTTGGCTTGGATGCTGGGAATTTTGAGAGATGGGATGGGTTTTGATCACAATTCGTTTGTTGCTTGGTGTTTCTATAGAGTGTATCTTTCGTGGCTGTCAGTTTGTTGGAGTGGTGTTGGTAGGGATCATGTGCATTTAGTAGTGTACGTACGGCAATTTATCTATGTTAATAGCCTCATCAAATCGTTTAAATCGCCCGATTTCCCTCATCCCTACGCCTGATCCTCCGCTCGAAGAGATGAGATAAAATCGCCTATATTGTCATGTTTTTATTATTCTAAGGAAACACATCAACACATCAACATACCTACTAGTTGATATATAGGGGCCTGACCCCCTAGAATACTACCACGTGATCCAACACCGCGGGATAGGGCTCCTCGGTTAGGCCTATATAGTATAGAATAATCTATACTCTATAGAATCACTAGATAACTGCAGCTATTCAACCCTATCACAGAGTTTTTAGATGCCAATCTTATGGCACACATCTCCTGGAAGGTACTATTTTAGGACATTACTTCTTACCGACACATCTCTGAAAGCTATTAGGATGCCTTTCCCATATATTTCCGCTGCTGACACCCACGTTCGAATGCAATATTTATTGACACGTCCAAATAGACTAGTAGGTCAACTTTATAAATGGTAGTATAGGACCTAAGAAAGGGGGAGCAGTCTACTAAATCACCGTTATTCTCAGACCCCTTTGGTTCCCAATGTACATACACATACGCATATTTATGACACAAATGTCAATGAGAGCTGCTTAGTAGATATACTGAACGGCCGTTGGCGACCCGAGAAAAGCCCCTGAATGGGAGCCGTATTCGGGTATAATGCAAATCACTCACTCACTCACTCACACACTCTCTCTATCTATCTATGTTAATATAGTACTAATATCTCCCACTTGCATTCGTCTTTATCTGTGCCGATCATGATATTTCAATACACCAATACGGGATACTCCGACAAAGGATCCCATATCCAATTTCTCTCTATGCTTTGACATATACGCCGCCAGTAAACTAGACGTGACTTGTGGACTACGGTGGATGAACAAGTGGCAATATCGGAAAGGACCATGGCTGTTCATATTATTATATATCCCTCGATTCTTTTATAGAGTTTATGGGGGCAAGCTAGGCAAAGTTGGACGCAAAGCGATATAGTTGGCGTTTTTCTGTTTCATTGGCTCTTATATCATACAACGATAGGCACGTTATTACTCAAAACATTCTAGTAGCTGCCTTGCAGCTTTAGGCCTTTCTTCACATGGATTCCAGGTCTCAGACATTAGTAGTATAACCTTCCATCTATTGACTAGGGTTCCGATGTCTGTATAACTAACAATCTAACCAACAATTACAGACTATTTGTAGATGTGATTGGAAAATTCCTGTGGCAGACAAATAAACTCCAAACATATGGTCTATTCTATACTTCAAGTTATACGTTATATCACAATTATCATGGCTCTAATCCCAGTTGATCTGACTAGCAGACTCACACATCAATAGACATAAGCGCCCAACATGCATGACAAACCTTCCGACATCTGCAGACAGTAACAAAGGTTATGGCAATTGCACCTTTCCCCACGGGGTATGCTCTGGATATCTCGAGGAATGAAGTGAAACAGAGGACGGCTCTCGGAAGCTGGCTTTCCGACATTGGACAAATGTGAAGTGGGAACCGCATCTCACTAGCCCTGAAAGGCAAGAGAACAACCGAGAGGGTCCCAGACAAGTGCCCCAGAGCCCAACACCGATGTCCTCGATTGGGCTCGGCTCTGTGCCCCTTGTCGATCTGTAGTGGAGATGCTTCTCTAGGACCCAATGGAGAGACAATACATATCGGCCTCGGCTTTTGGAATGGAGCGAAAAGTCCGAATGAAGCCATCCGTAGTCACCAGAACACCAGTGCAATGCATTAATGCGACAAACTGCCATGGAGAGATCCGCCATGGTGGAGTAAGCTTTTGCGTACTGATTGGTCTAGTCGTCAAGCCATACCCGGGATTTGATTATGACAGGCTCGTCTGGGGCGCGGGTCTGCTGACCATGGCCCACGCCTACTGCATGATAACAAGATTGTCCTAAGCTATCTATGAGAAACGGAGTCGTCAACCTCGGAGATGACTTACCATACCATGACTGTGATGTTTCATCACAGTACTAGCCACTGTCTAAACTATGTATGATTGGCCGATGATCATTATGAGGAGGCCACCAGCGGTTATGTACTGCGCGAAAGTTTCGGCAGAGTAATAATGGCGTTGCTAACGGAAGTGAGTGGAGCATAAAGCTATTTAAATAGCATTGAAGCTCCTCGATCACACCATCGCTTTACGGGATTTCACCATCCAATTCTTCTTTGATTGATCCAGACGAGTTTAAGCTTATCGATCCGGTTACTATACTCAGCCCTATACTTCAAGATGGCCCCCCGTCGACTTCTCCTCGTCAGCTATCCCCGTACAGCATCCAATCTCCTTCTAAAGATCCTTGCTCTTGCAGATCAACCCAATGTCGTCGCCAATGAGCAGGGTGGCTACTTCTTCATGAAAGCCTATACTACTGCCTCCAAGGATGGCTGCATTTACAAGCCAGCCGACCACTGGACCACTGAAGAGTGCGATGAAGTCCGGTCTACCTTCCAGGAATGTCTGAACGAGCTGGAGGAATACAGTAGCCGTGCTGAAAAAGAAAATAAAATGCTGGTCACTAAGGAACATGCTTTCTGGCTCTGCAACCCAATGGCATTCAGCCGGATGATCCACGGCACCAATGGTAGCTATGACTCCCTTTTCCGCCTACAAGTCCCAGCCACCTACGGACCCTCCCAGACTTTCTCCCCAAACAACGAGACCGTCTTTCCGGACGAGTATCTGCGCACCTGGCGTCTGGCGTTCATTATTCGTCATCCGGCGCTGGTGTTTCCATCCTTTTATCGTGCAATGATGAAGATGGTGGCCGCAGGTGTTATTAAAAAAGAGGAGCTGCCTGGCGTCTTAGAGACAAATATGTCGTTGAAGTGGACTCGGATGCTCTACGATTATGGCATGGAGAACAATGACTCCGACTCCAAGCCATTGTTACTAGACGCCCATGATGTCATTCACAACTCCGCTGTGATAACTCGATTCTGCGAGCTGGCTGGCCTGGATTCCAGCAAACTCAAGTTTGAGTGGGAGAAGAAATCAGATGCTAGTGGTACGCCGAGTAAGGGAACGCCTGTCGAACAGAGAGACGTTACTGGGCAAGACGTGCGCTTTAATAACCAGGAAGCTCAGGCAATCATGCTTTCTAGTTTAGCGGGATCATCTGGGGTTCTGAAAGATAAGGCGCCGGTGATCTTGGACGTCAATACTGAGGCGTCTAAATGGAGGGAAGAATTTGGTGAGGAGACCAGTCTTCTTCTTGAGAAGGCAGTTCTGGCAGCCATGCCAGATTACGAATACTTGAAGGCTCAGCGTGTTCAACTGTAGATTCTATTTGGATACTGTGGTCTGGAGAGAATGTAAGACCTGAGGTGAACAGCGAAACTAATGCAGAGAATATGGTTATTAACGCGCAAGGATTTGGTAGTTCACGATATCAACTTAGAACAAAGTCTGGAACAAATAGGATGGGTTATCAATATTAATAGTTGACACAGAAATAAGGTAATGTATGAAGGTTACCTAAAGCCCTATTGAGTATACTTGTGAAACGCGACGAATAGGAGTTGTAGGAAGTGGCTGCCCAATAGAGAAGGAGGGCTTAAGGGCCAGAACCCGCCAGAGCAAAGGGCTAGCCCTAGGTCACGTGCTCGTATTGGAACCGGATCGGCTAGTGTATTTATCCGCACTAGCGCGGCCCACGCACGAAGCGACTAGCTTTTCTTCTCTACTAAGCTGAAATTACTTTGAACTTTCCTTTCTTCCTTTCTCCGTCAATCCCGTCACCCAGCACCGTTGCGGAACTCAGTCGACAATAATGGTAAGCATATAACGTCCAGTTGATTTGATTGTCTAGCTTTCGAAAACCTCTGCGACATGTCGTGAGACGATCTCGTCGGCTTCATTTCGCAAGTCTCGAAGCATATTCCGCTGGTCGCACAAATCCTTCGGGATGCGAGCGTCAGCGATGATTTGGCTGGAGACACCGGTCTAGTCGTTGAAATATACACTAGATCGGTGTTCTCTCTAGAGTTCAAGGAAGATGCAGCGTTGGTGGACACGATGTGCTGATCTTCTTTTCTCAATGACAGCCTCCCAAGTCCGGAAAGAAGGCCGCCCCTCTGCCCTACCCCCAGGGTAAGGCTGGTTCTAAGAAGGCCCCCAAGGTATGTATAGAGAGAGCACTTCCCTAGCTAGGAACTATGGTAGATGCTAATATGCGTCCAGAACCCTCTCATCGAGAAGCGCTCCCGCAACTTCGGCATTGGCCAGGACATCCAGCCCAAGCGCAACCTCGGCCGCTTCGTTAAGTGGCCCGAGTATGTCCGTCTTCAGCGCCAGAAGAAGATCTTGAACCTCCGTCTCAAGGTCCCCCCTGCTATTGCCCAGTTCCAGAGCACCCTGGACCGCAACTCCGCTGCCCAGACCTTCAAGCTCCTCAACAAGTACCGCCCTGAGACCAAGGCCGAGAAGAAGGAGCGTCTCCACGCTGAGGCTACCGCCGTTGCCGAGGGCAAGAAGAAGGAGGATGTCTCCAAGAAGCCCTACAACGTCAAGTACGGTCTTAACCACGTTGTTGGCCTCGTTGAGAACAAGAAGGCTTCCCTTGTCCTCATCGCCCACGACGTTGACCCCATTGAGCTGGTCGTCTTCCTTCCTGCTCTCTGCCGCAAGATGGGTGTCCCTTACGCCATTGTCAAGGGCAAGGCTCGTCTCGGTACCGTTGTCCACAAGAAGGTAAGAGTTACTCTTCACCCTGGTAGTAATTGATTGTGCTAATTCGACTGTCAGACCGCTGCTGTCCTCGCTCTGACTGAGGTCCGCTCTGAGGACCAGTCTGAGTTCTCCAAGCTCCTCTCCACCATCAAGGAGGGCTACACTGACAAATACGAGGAGTCCCGCCGTCACTGGGGTGGTGGTATCATGGGCGCCAAGGCTGTCGCCCGCCAGGAGAAGAAGCGCAAGGCCGTTGAGTCCGCTGTCAAGATCTAAACTAGTCCAGATGTCTAGTCAAGTTCCACAATGACGGGTTTTCCAACGATCTTAATGACAAATGTTGCGCTCTTCCGGATACCAAAAATTGGGATTAATTGTTCAAAAGCAAATCGCGGCCACGGTTTCTGGGAATGGTGTTATGGGCTCGGTTAACTTATTGATGGCATAATAGCTTAGATGGGTGGAGAGCTTCTGGCACCCAATCCTCAATCCCAATCCATCTTGATGGTCTACTCTGTTTCTTTCACTCTTATGTACACGTCGCAGATACCCATGAATGCTATTTCACACTTAAACCCAATCGCTCTTGTAGTACCCCTTGGTCTAAGCATTCATGTGAGGTCTGCTCTAGTAGTTCCCAGTGGTAGAAGTAATTCACGGTGTGATCCTGTTCAACTTCCTCTTCTGTTTCAATCTTTAGAAAATGTGGAGCTTGGCTGGTTTGCAGGTGAATAAATGATTATAACCCGGGACCCATTCCGTTCCCCTGTTAATGCTATGTTCGTACAATACACCGCATGCGTACATATGGTGAAACAACTATACATCAAAGAAAGCGTGTTGGTATGAAGTCAAACCCAAAATAAAATGCAGCCAGACAATGCCCCGCCCCTCCCCTTTAACGTATTTTAATGAACCACTGAAGACAAGCAAAATCCCACAATCTGAAGCGTATAAAACAAGCATTTAAGAGCTAGCCAGCCCACCCAAGCCTAAGGAGCACCCGCCAAACCGTATGTAAAACAACAAGAACGCAATAGGGAGATGATATAGAAAAGGGATAGGATTAAAGAGGGTCAGAGGAAACATGAATTCATTGAGTCGTTAGCGTTGGGCAGGTGGTCGCGTGAGCCCTTGCCTTGCCTGCACCATTCTAAGTCAGAGAAGATCCATGGTTTGGGACTGAAAAATACGTACCTTCATTTGTTCTATCCTTGCTTTAAGCTGGCTCGTTACCTCGGCAGCTCGCTTCCAGTTCTCCGCTGGCTCTGTACTTCTTGTTGGCTGGTCATCCCCTGAAGCATTGCTAGAACCCAACATTGGAGACCGAGTGGGACTGCCCATTCCAGAATAACTGGTGCCAAATGTAGGGCTTAGCTTCCGTCGGCCGAGACTATCTCTGCTACCCAGGCCTGGAGATTCCAGACCACTGTTCTCCTTCTCTTCACTTGGGCTGGCTGAAGCATAACTCCTTGGTCTTGAGCTCTCGAATCGTGAACCCATGTGGTAGCCACGTGCTAAAGGACCGTGGCCATTGCTGGCTGCGTCCTGATAAACTGATCCGGCGTCTCCATATGACATGCCAATCCCTTCTGGTAGAGTGTTGGGCGGACTGATAGCGCTAGCACGAAGGGCCCTTGCCAACTCACGTTTCAGACGGTCAATTTCCCGCTGCTGTTTGTGAACAGTCTGTTCTGCGGTCTCTGCATCACTCCGAGCCCTAACCAGTTGGGTTTCCTTGGCCTTGATACTCAGAACATCCCTCGTATGGTCTTCAATGAGTTGTGCGTTCTGATCCTGAAGTTCTGTCACTTGAGACTTCAATTTGGTCCTCTCTGACTTCAAATCTTCAACCAACCGGGTAAACTTCTCCTGTTCGAGGCGCAATTCCTCTAACTCGGCCCGCTCAACAGCCGACATTCCGGTCAGTGGAGGCGCTGCTGGTGGAGGCGAAGGCTCACGAGGAGCGGCTGGCTTGGCGATAGGACGGCCTGCAAGTCCTCTACCAAGACCAAACTTGGGCGCAGCAGGAGCCGCGGGTTGCTCCTCAGAAGGAGGAGAAACAACCCGTCGTTGTGGCGAGGCTATACCTCCGGGACCACCCAGCTTTTTCTTGAGACCAGAACCAGGTGCGGGAAGTCCACCAGCCTTAGGACCGCCCAATCTCGATGGTACAGCCTTCTTAGGGGGTGAGGGAGCTGGCGCTGGTTCTTCAGCCGGTGGCGGTGCCGCAGCTGGAGCGGGCTTTTTCGTTCCCAATGCTGGCTTTTTCCCACCGACGACCTTTTTACCAGCCGCCGGCACAGCCTTGGGGGCACCAACAATAGGCTTAGGCCTATCTTTCGCTTTTACCTCTGCCGTATCAAAGAACTCCTTAATCTTCGTCTTCCTGATATCATCGAGGCCTTCAAGGTACGGGTTCATCGCTCGCTCGCCCATGATCTTCATCACTGTACCAAGGATTTCAGCTCCTCCCGATCGGTTGACCTCACTGGATTCAGTAAGGAGCTTAGTAGCCGCTTCAGAAATCGACTTGACCTCCGCTTTCGACGGCACGTCCCTGGTGGCACGAAGACAACGGATAAGAAATTTGAGGGTTTCTTGCTTGACTTGCGGATTCTTATGCTTCAAAAATTCAAGGATCTCCTCCAAGCAATCTGTCAATGTAGTCGATGCGAAGACCGAGTCTAAGGCTTGGCCCAGTGCCTCTGCAACGCTCTGCTTCTTCTCCTTGAGGCGCTCCAGCATAGGAGCCATGATACTTGAGCGATATTTACCGAATCCGCTCCGAAGGCCTTTAGCGAGTAAGTCGACACAGTTGGCAGCAACGGTCACAACCGCAATATTAGCATCTTTCATGCGAGCGGCTAGCGCGCGTACAATATCGTCGAATGGCCCATCCTTGATTCTCGGGACGTTCAGTGCTGAATGGAGAGCATCCAGTGCCTCCTTTCGGTCTTTCCACTTCGATGATGATAGCTGCTCGTGTAGGTCTTTCGGAACTTTGGGCATCACATCAACAGGTTCCGCGAGGTCAAAAGCGTCAACCTCCCCACCGTCCTCCTCCCCATACTCTTCACCGCCGTCTTCGCCTTCACCATCTTCAGGAGCTGCGCTGGCGGCGGCCATCGCGTCTTGCTGGGCTCTAGTTAATCTCTCTTGCTTCGGTGCCGGCTCTTGTTTGACATTTTCGAAGAGTTTCTCTAAGTCGGTCTGCTGGACTGGCTTTAGTTCGCCCCAGAAAAGAGGTTTAATGGCCTCTTTCAGCCACCGGTACATTTCCACTGTGAGACTTTGCGCCTCCGCGCGAACGTTCTTGTCTGCATGTCCAAAGACCTTGGGCAGGGTCTTAAGGACCGGCTTGGGATCGACAATCTTGCACCCGAAGTTGTGATAGATTGATCTCAAGCCAGTCAATGTCGCAGCAATAACCTTGGGTACCTTATGTGATAGCCCAGGCAGCATCTCTTCGATCACGGGATCCGCCTTATCTAATTCGACTAATAGTAAAAGGGCTTCTTGAGCGTTTGTCTTTGCTGCCGGTCTCGTGGAGGGAAGACCCTTTTCTACAATGGGAAAAACGGTGGTAGCGCGAGACCTTTCCGGAGAAACATTAGCCACCTCTATCACAAGGGAGTGTAGATCATCCAAGGACGTCATACCTTGTGCAAGCCTGAACACCACCGAATTTTAAGAAAGCGCAGTAGGCCGCAAGGCCATCTTGTTGGGCCGCGACATTGGAATCTGCGACAGCGCCTTTCCATAGGCCCGCGTCTTGGATAAACGGTGTGAAAACGGGATCTGATTCATCTGGGGATTTCTCGAACTGCTGTTTGGCATCTTCATACCCTCCCTTACGCACTTTCCAGTTCTATATTGGCAAAGGCGAAATATTAGTCCACGGGAATTGAGTGAAGACGTCGAGGGGCGGGGTTCACCTTGTGCGCAAACCGTTCGGGCAATGGGAGAGAGGAGAAGTCCTCCTCTCCGTCAGCCATGATGACGGCGAATTAAAGTGTACTAGAGGTTAATTAGTCAAGTCCTGAGATCTGCGAGGGCAAATGTGCCAATCTATAGGGAACAAGCACAGTGAATCTCGTCTATATATTCACTCTAGACAAGAATACTGCACAGAGACTGAGGGTTGGGTAGATTCTCCCTTGTGCATCGCACACACCTTAAGCTTGCAGAAGGTTGCAGGATCCGTGCGGTTGGGCAGTTAACCGTATGTTTAGCCACGCACAACGGGTATCCGAAGAAAAGTATAACTCAATGTCGGGAGGATGGCAGAATCACAATGGATCGATGTTCTGCCGCTGAAAATAGGAACCGGACAGAACCCGTGGGGTAAGAGGATAGATGGAAGTTCAATCAGACAAGCAGAGTGGGAGAGATAGACGAAGTAAACAACGGGCAAGTCGCTCCGGTGACTTTCGCGACCCAAAAGGGAGAGTGGACGGACTGGTCTTTTTTTCTGCCAATCTTTTCCGGCTCGTCTTCCCCGCGGATCAACAAAAACAAACACACTTTATTCTTTTCCTTTTTATCCCTTGAGTATTAAGTTATTAACACCTCATATCGCTGATCACTTGGGATGATTTGATTTAATAGACTTTGATGGACAACCCCTGACCCGAAAATTCATTATCCGACCATCTACGATGTACTCTCTTTTGGAATGATATTTCCATCATATGATTTACTGCAATATATTCTTAGACCTTTGGGGCAGTTTCACCGTGCATGGACAACTCGGACAACGCTAGACTAGTAGTAGACAGAACTTATGGGTGGGTCAACATTGAATTGTAATGAGAGTCAAAGAAATTCTGACAGGGCTTATAAGATGTATCATTCTAACCACAATAATGTTCCACGTTGAGCAGCCCCTTTCCATTGCATCTTCTGTGGCTGTCATTCTCCTAGAAGAATTCTCTGGTTATCATTCCCTTCACACGTGATCCTTAGTATTGGGTAGTAGTATTATATACATATTATGGTGGATACTATACGCTGACAGATTCCTGAAATCCGAAAGATATATCCTTGAGTCCAGAAACCACGTCCTAATATAGCAATAGTAGTTCAAAAAAGGTATAAGTTAGACAACATATATAGCTAGAACAAGGCACTTGTTGCCCTAAAGAAATGCGAGCTTGTCTTTATCGGGTAGAGAGGAACACCGTTGGATGCCATACCACAGCGAGACTGTAATTATAGGCTCTTTAGAAATTGCACGAAGAAAATCAAAGCAGTTCAAGGCTAATGATTCATCTTAGTAATACTAACGACATGCTAACCAAGTAGCTACGGATTCCCGTTAACATTGTATAGACCAACATCAGCCCTATAAGCCCTACCACCTCAAGCTCCTCAAAAGAGTCATCTAACCTTAAGCATAAAGCCTAAACTCGATAGCACATTCCCCAAAGGCTCACTAATCTGCCCTGATCCTCCAAGCTGCGTAACCTCATCTCCCCATTCCCGGTCCTCGCCATGCGGCGTAGTCACCTTCGGCTTATTCTCCCCCCAAAGACCCCATGGATGATCTCAGTAGATGTTCTTATCCGCGGTGCCATTAGACTTTAGATCAAAGTTGCCTTCTGTACCGGAAGAGGAGTGCGAGCCCCGGAAGACGTAATGTTCTCCAAGCTTTTTCTCTGTGCCGTTGACCTCGGAGATGGGCACTTCATCTGCGTAGGGTTTGCCTTCAAGGTAGATCTTACCCCATAGTAACTTGATGTCGTCGATGATCAAGGTGCCTGATTTGCTCTTGTCTTCGAGACGGATCTCCGTCCATTGGGAACTGGCTTTGGGACTTGGATCCATTATTCGTTGTTTGCGGGTGTGGCTAGTTTGAACTGAGGCTTGTAGTTAGATAATGGGTGAACGAGAGAAGCTTGAGAATATTGGTCGATCGAGTGAAGTTTATCGAGGGATTATGAGCCTTTGATATACGATAGATGAATGTGTCTGGTGCTTGATCGAAATTTCAGTTTGTACTGGCACTTCAGCTGCGTTGAACTCCGCTATGCAATAGTGCATGTTGCTATATGCATTTTGAAAGCTAACATCGCCTAGCCGGAAACTATACAATAGACCCTGTGATATAGCTCATGTAACTTATTACAGGCATATTTACACCGCGTAAGTGCAAGAGTCTAGACCTCTAGTGCTGGTTCTAGCCACTGGAGCCTGAGCATCTGTAGCACTTACCTTGCATGCACATATGTACAATAAGTATGTGCATTTAGACGGACAATTGTGAATCGAAAGTATCCCAGTCAATGCTTTCAAAGTCCATGCCCATGATATTAAACGGATCAAACACATCAAAAGGGGCTAGATTCATCTGACCAACAATGTTCTCAGTCGGCGTAGCCAGCAATGCTGAATCTATACCCGATGTGGCACCGTTTGCAAGTTGCAATTCGGGTGCCCTGGACGTCTCAGTGCTATTGTTCAGAACGAGATGCAAAGCATGAGATACCCGTCGTGCATCTCTACTGGCCTGGGAGTTCTCTACGCAAACCTCGTAAGACTGTTCGAGGAGAGAAAACACTTCTTTCTGTATGGCAAAATCGATAGTGTCGCCCCAGGAGGCTTGTTTGCGATGGATATGTATCACCAGGCAGAGCACCATGACGCCCAACAGAAAGTCGTTCATCGTGAAATTTGTCAGCATCCATTGCTCTGCGTGTAGTTGACCACCAGGTGAGAATTCCTTGTACATATCGATAAATTGACTGACAAGGCGCTTTGCGGCTTCAACGCAAGCTTTAGTACTATTAACATTACCCTGGGCCATGTATCCGCGATGCAGAACACAGAGATTCTTCAAGTAAATAAATTCAATATATAGCCTGGTAATTATGAGAAAGGGGGGATCCGCAATAGACTCTGAGAGAGGCCGAGTTCGCAAGATATCGGGAATCGTTGCGTACATTTGCCGGATTTCTTCGTCCAGCCGATGTAGGTCAGCTCCAGTCTGCTCCTTGGGAGAGAGCATGTATTCACAGACTTTGCTGAAGCTAGTAATTTGTCTATCCTTAACGATGAACCATAGCAACTTTGTAGGTTCTGTCTCGGGTCGAGACTCAGGCAAGACCTGCGTGTCCACATCGAAGTCTGAGTCTAAGAGGTTTCTTGGGGACTTTGTGTCACAACTCTCGAGACAAATGTTACTCGGTAAGCCCAGCTGGAAACTAATCATGACATCCATGTGCTTACACGCAGCCCAGAATCGCCTGCGCATTTCGCCTTCAAAGACACTCAGAGAGCCGAAGGAGTCTGGATCCCGGTGGTAGCCCAATTCATACGCCATACGGACAACCATCCCCAGAATCATCCCAGCTTCTCGGGAAGGGTCCAAATTCCTAAGATTCTTGCACTGACCATAGACAGCGAGCGCCTCAATTGCAAGTTTTTGCGGCCGATGATACTCCCCTATGACAAGACATTGGCCAGCAGCTGTGTGGAACTTGGGACTTTCGGGGAGTGCATCTCTTTTTAGTGGACGACCTGGGCCAGCTGCTTCCCTGGTAAGGGATGACAAACAACATATAGAAAATAATATGGAAAGCCAAAGAGGATCGACATTGGTTGGATTGGCCCAAAATTCTCTATACTGGCGCTGGAAATGATAGGTGTGGATGAATGGAATTACGAAAGTCTCGCCCTGGAAGTATGACGAAAGATATCGATCAACATTCACTTTCGAGGGAAGATATAGAGACATGACGTGTTGCAAAGAGTAAATATGTGGCGATCCAAATATCAGCTCAGTACCCAAGGCAGGAGCCCCCGGCGTAGCAAGTTTATTAACTCCCTGGTTTTCAACGGAGCCACTCAAGGCCACCTTCAGCTCGTGAATGTCGTCCAGAATAGCTGACCAATGTGTGGAACCGACATATGCGGTAGCGTCAATCGAATCATCCTGAGATTGAATCGCAGCAGCATCTATCGAGCGGCGGGACAAATCCGGGGGCACCATGTCGTTTTCTGAAGGCAATTCCCTACTACGCATCAATGTCTTGAGCAAAGACTCCAGGTGTGTCAGCCTGCTCTCAACGGTGCTATGGTCGCTCTTATTAACCATTGGCCCCGCCCTCTGCCGATAAGAACAAGCGTCTGATTCATGTCTCCTAATACAGCTACTGCAAGGCTGTCCTCGATCACATCGAAGCTTAGACTTTCTGCATTGCTCGCACACAAGCGATACTCTCTGCGACTTTGTTACTTTCGCAGTCGCGGCCCTGTGGTGAGAACCAGGGTCTTTACGAGCTCGAAATTTGCCTGTAAATTTTGAGATGTCAGACATTTCTTTAGATTTTCATCTGAGAGTCTGAGAAATCTTGTTAAATGCGTAATGATCTCGTAACATCAGCAGGATCATGAAATACGGATGCGAGTACTATGCTACTACTACTTGTTCCCAAACTACCCAATGAACAGCCCCCAACCTAGTGGTCACATGGATAAAGGTCAGCTGGACTTTAGACTGTATCTGGTAAAGACTAATATCCAATGTCGCCATTAGTAATCTATTTAATACCAATGGGATAAGTCATTATATACAACTACCAAGGTTGAACTTCGTCCCGACGAATAACTTTCCCAGCGTCCTGATCACGGGCTCCTTCAACAACATCTCTCACAAACTCCGCCCCAATGATCGGATTTAATGCGCCTAATTTCTTATATAATTCCGCATTACCGCCCAAGCCAGTCGCCAAGAACCCCGGTGAGATGCCAAAGATTTTGACGCCATCTTCTCGCAGGATCCGAACCCAATCGCACATCATCATGTTCAAACCAGTCTTGCTGGACCTGTATGCTCCAAAAGTAGGCTCTTCCTTGGGCCAACCCTTCGCAGGTGCCTTATTGAATCTGTACGAGGTATCCTCAGTCTCACCAAGCGCCGATGTGCCGCTTGTGATGAATAAGATTCTCGGATCGGACGATTTCAGGAGAAGGGGCACGAAAGTGTGAGTGAGGATATGTGTTCCAACGGTATTGACGTTCCACGACTTGTTCCACATTTCTCGCATTGTCAGGTCTCCAGAGTAGAACTGGGTGTCCAGCAGTGCCCCTGCATAAGTTATATTAGTCTTTGGTCAGGTTAAGGTTGTAGCCTTCCAGGGTTTACAAACCTGCGTTGTTGATCAAGATATCCACACGACCGTATTCGTTAGCGACATGCTCGAATGCTCTCAAGATCGAGTCGTCGTATTCTACGTCGACTTGGATGGTTTTGATAATGCTGCAGCTCTGGGGGTATTCCTCTTGTACTTCTTTAGCTGCAACATCGGCTTTGTCGAGATTCCTGCCTCCGAGAAGGATGGTGTATGCTTTGGGTGAGCCCAGCAATGCCTTGACTGTCTCAAGACCAAGGCCAGTATTGGCACCGGTGATCAAAACGATTGGGTTGGAGGACATTTTGGTTTCTTTAACACGATTGGCACTAGATTGGATTGCTTAATGAGGTGTAGGCATAGTTAGCTCTGGAGACGCAAGCATTGCCTTTATATAACATTTCTTGGTCTTATATAAAACCAACTACCAGTCTCGGACATTACAGAACTCCGATATAATTACTACAGAAGGTATAGATAATCATAACTTGCGTGAGTGGGAATGATAGGGTTTCGGAGGAAAGTTTTCAAAACTTGCCTTTTTGGGAGATAAAGTCGGCCGAGCTGAACTTTCCGTATTTGGGAACTGTAGTTGCAGGAGGAATATCAGATATAGATTGGATCTACGGTTAGTATACAGAAGTAGATCGTCGAGTTACAAGGATTTCCATCATTCAGGACTCTATTCTCCAAAAGTACAATATTCGAAAAACATAACATACTCCTTATGACTACTATCTGGCATAGCCCCAAAATAACCCTAACAGGGATGTGTACAATCCATATTTCTGACATACATTCTATCTCAACTCCTCCTTTGTATGAACTCGACACCTAGTGCCATTGCCAAAATGCGAGCAGTCATCAGGGCAAGGATAAGCCGGATCAAACTGCCACAAGTAGTACGGGTCGGTCTCATTCGCAAGGACGTCCCCAATCAAGACAGTCTGAGACATCAAGTCCAAAGAAGCCTGAAAGACCTCCAATGAGGATATATGGACCTGGGGCCAGCCTATCCGGACTAACGTATCAATTGAGGTTCAGTAGACATATTCCTTAAACCCAGCCCACCGAATGGCAGAGGCGCACTTTCTGATTGTTAACCTATAGCAATATGTCTTACAAATTCGAAGCGTCGGGGATAATCTACCTACCATAGGACAACTCTCAGCGTTGGTATACAATGTTAAGCCGACAAATGCAGCTTGAGCTTCAGAGGCCGTTAGTCGAAATCGGCCATATGGATCAGCCAGTATGGCAGTGCAGTTCGTGATGGCTGCTATTTCTCCTAAGGGGTACCAACATCCACCAGTATTTAACGAAGAAACCGCTATCCGAAGGAGGTTTGAGATACGGTACCGTGTAGGGGCGGGTTTCCGGTCTGGCGATTCTGGTTAACCCCGATACGTATCAGATCTCCAAATCCATCGGTATCAGTGTGATTAACGACGGCAGTGCCAAATACAGCGAATGGACAGGGAAAGCCGCTTCGTTCGCCCAATACTTGATTTGTTCGGCGCATCCAGTAAGCTCTAGTTGAGAAAGGAATGCCATCTGCAATTAGAGTTAGGTTGAGAACTGTACTTGTAAGGATCATCTGAAAGAAGCACAAGAGAACTGCAATGGGAATAGTGAACAGACGCATTTTGCAAACTAGAGGAAGTAGCTGCACCTTGAGTTTGATAGATTTTGGATTTTAAATGGTCTCTAGACGTGTTTAAAATTCATTGTCTAGCATCATGAGACGCGGGGTTCGTATCTATTTCCCCTGCCCCCAGCGACTCTATGCCCGTTGGTGCTTATCAGAAAAGCGTAACCTGGCTGCATGGATCTGATGCCTGCTAAATCTGCTGATATATTTTGATAAGTCGACGGACATATATCGTGATGTTGACTTTCAGTTCCTATCAAGTCCAACAACAAAACAGACACTAGAACTAGAGCCTACTTGGTTTAAAAGTATCTTTAAACCAGTAAATCTTCTATACTCTTGTCTACGCAACCATATCCCAAGAACATAGGTGTTCCACCCTCAGAGACCTGTTATGTTTCATTTAGCTCGTATAGTAGTCAATTACACATTGATCGAAGCCTATGACATACGCTTTTTTAGTCTCTAATGACTACCGAATCCCTCTAGCGGGCTACCTATCAACCAGAGGTTCAGTTATAGGCCTGTATGAAAGCATTAAATCAGTAATTGTCTACAACTAACATTTCTGAGACCTAACCTCAATGCCAGACTCCGATCTCAGAAACAAACTATACGTTGCCTTCCTTGAGCTCAAGCCCCAAGCAAGCTTCTCGATCAACCTATACAAGAGGTCAAAAGCAGCTATTTTAAAAGCTTACATTTATATAATAAGACTGGCCAATATGACTAATGTTGCAAAGAAAAGACTAGTAGCACACATGCACAGTAAGATATAATACATTCGGAAGGAGTCGACACAGATCAAAGACAAAAGCAGCCCTCTGAGCCCAACATTCATCTTTTACAATCAAAGAGAAATGCCAAAGAAGGACAAACGGAGTAGATTCACCTTCTACTGGGCCCCGGTACGCTCATAGATTAGCCTCCTGATTCGCCCAACGTGCTCTTGTCCTCCTAAGCTCTGGCCCTCGCCGCCCTCTGCTCTTCTGGCTTCCCTGCGCTCCCACTTGACGGTTCGCTTGGCCACGCGCTCTGCGTCCCGCTCTTCACGTGTCAGAACAGCCGGTCTGTCTTCAATTGCCTCGCCGAACGGCGCAATGATCCTTTCGACAACATGACGCACATGCCGGCTCTTCGGGTATCCCGAGGAGAACTCGATGACGTCCCCTTCGCGCAGGGAGTTCCTTGGGTCGGACACAAGATATGTTGTAACCTTAGGATATGTCTTGCGAATGTGACTGTCCCACATGGTGTGGCGGTGGGCGACGCGGACGGTACGGTCCATGCGGCCGACGGAGACCACAGTGCCGGTCTTCAGGGTATAGGGATAGCTGCGGAGGGAAGGAGGAGCCGCCGATGGAGTAGAAGGTGCTGTGGACGATTGGGTCTCCGTGGGTGTAGCAGTCGTCGAATTCAAGCGGCGGATTGGTGTCGAGATGGCAGAGTAGATGTGTGCGGCTGGGGACGAGGTCGACGTAGGTCTGAGAATAGAAGAGCGGAGGGGCTGCATCGCCCGGAAGAGGGTACTTGGACGCATATTCATATGAGTAGAGGGGTTCCCCTGTGCCTGTTCTTGATGCCTGTTCCTTTTGGGTGCGACAAAGTCCGACCAGGTAGTTTCTCAAAGGCACGTGCGGATTTGTCGCAGATCGAGAATGAATTGTACGTCCGCGAAGTTTCGGCTCAAGCCCAATTTTAGTCTAATAATATCACAATTTGGGCAATATGTTTTCGTCTCAACAAAAACTCAGGCGTCGTCTCCGGCGAAACAGTGTCAAATCCGCGGACGAGGCCGTCCAGAATTTCTCTCCAGTGTTTGCACTGTTTGCATACACGCGCCATGTAACATATACAGTTCAATTAGGGAGGTCAGGTTGATCTTTCCAAAACTGAGCCACTAATAGCGGATCGATGACATATTATTCCGGTCTGTCAAATACAAATAAATGATGGTAATACACGCTGAGTTGAGAGCTTAGACAGAACGCTTAATGTACAGTACACCAGCAACACCTCAACCTTTTATACCCATCCATGACCCGGACCCAGGAATCTAAGTACAATATTACCCTCTTATGAGATTTCATATGAGTGACCGAGAATCTTAACCAATGCAAAACAAACTCAACAAATCATTTCACGCCATCCAGTGCTCACAGACTGTCAATAAAAAGGTCTAAGCAATTCGTCACACAATTTTGTGTTTCCTCTTCTGATACGCCAAATGAGACAGTATAGACGTTAGGTGTCTTTTTGGAGCATAATCAAGACGATCCCTCGGACTCTACACCGTTCACTTGTTCGTGGTACGTGCCGGCCAGGGAAGCCCTTTTAGACTGGAATTTCTCCGCAGATTGGGTAGATATCCTCGTCAATTCCGTTACGAATGACTGGCCCCAGAAGGCACTGAAATAGGTTAGCGATGTTCATCAGTCCGAATGTCGTGCATGTGCATACCTCGTATATTTATTGACATATTTGTCCAGCTTGGAGAAATTCAGAGCCCTTTGCTCGTCGCTCATGGTGACAGCCTCCTGGTAGGCACTAGCTAGTTCTTCGGTGTTCCAAGGGTTAATAATGATACTGCCATTGAGACTCTGGGCTGCACCAGCAAATTCTGAGAGGACCAAAACGCCGTGCCGCTTTTGCTGAGCTGCAATATATTCGTACGCGACCAGATTCATGCCATCCCGAGTTGACGAAACAATGCACGCGTCCGACACAGCATATAGGGCAATCAGTTCATCGAAATTGACCGACTTGTGTAGGAAGTGGATTGGCATGAATTCCACAGTACCTAATCAGGTCAGCAATATGTTATCATGTCCTGCTAGTAAAATCACTCACCAAACTTCCCGTTGATGCGACCAACCAGCTCGTTGACAACAGCCCTCAAATTCTGATACTCCTCGACATCCTGTCTACTGGGGACAGCAACTTGGACCAAGACAACTTTACCAACCCATTCAGGGTGGTCACTAAGGAACACTTCCAGCGCATGCAGCTTTTGCGGAACGCCCTTGATATAGTCAAGACGGTCAACACCCACCATAAGCTTCACTCCTTGAAACTTCTGCTCAAGTTGTGCAATCCGCTTCTGAACTTTCTCTTTCTTAAGGCCCTCCTGGAACTTCTCAGGGTCAATCCCGATCGGGAAAGCTCCGCAGGCAATGATTTTGCCCTGGAACTCTATGCCGTTAGGAGTCGTCGCCAATCCCCTAGATGCCCATCATTAGCTCCCACGTTTTTACGTAACGACTGGTTTCAACGTACAATAAGCGCGAGCAAGCGCTCAGGAAATGTCTTGTATAGTCGTAAGTGTGGAAGCCTATGAGGTCGCAATGGAGGACCCCTAGCAACAGCTCGTTTCGGACGGGAAGAATCCTGTAAATCTCACTGCTAGGGAAGGGGGTATGGAGGAAGAACCCAATCTTAACATTCTGCTTCTGGTCTCCGATTTCTTCTCGAAGCATTTCAGGAAGAAGCATCAAATGGTAGTCATGCACCCAAATTAGGTCGCCATCCTGGACTTCTTTCGCGACGGCCCGCGCGAATAGTCGATTCGCATCCTTATAAGCGTCCCAAGCAGATTCATCGAAGGTGATTTCACCAGGATGATAATGGAAAAGGGGCCACAGAATAGAATCTGAGTAACAGTAGACTTATTAGCAACTTGGTGCAACTCGAAGCACTTGAGTTTGCATTATAAATGCATGGGAAGAGGTACTAACTGGAGAATCCGTTGTAGTGCCGGTCCGCGAGCTCATCATCGATAAATACGGGAACCGCATTGTACTCATCCTTCAACCGTTGCTTCACCACCGGTATCTCTTCTTCGGGGACCTCTAGGCCAGGCCAGCCATACCATTGGAACGTAGTGGATTTTGAAAGGCCACTGAGTCCGCTAACCAAGCCACCAGAAGACATGGAAAAGTCATACTTGCCGTCCTCGGAGCGTTTTATCGTAATCGGCAATCGATTTGAAATGAGTAGCAGTCTTGAGTCATTCTTAGAACCGTCTTCGAGGGAAGGCATTGTTGGTGAAATCGGGTTTAAAGGTTGAATAAGATTAAATCGAGAACGGTGAGTTTCTCAGAAAGAAACCTGTTGAAAAGTAAAAAATAGGTTGGAAGAATAGCAAAGGAACTAAGGAAAGAAATAAGAGGGGTAATATATAAAGACAATCAAGTCAATACCAAATGAGAACGACGATTGATAGCTTTACCGCAACCCAAAGATAACCAACAATCAGACAGTTGGCCGGTGAAACCAAACACTGCTAAAATGACAATAAATGTCGGCCCTACAACAAAAGGCGGGGAGCTTTTGTGAAGTACAAGAAGGCGGTCCGGTGGGGGGAAAACGGGCAAAGAGTGACCTCAGAGCTCAGCAATCGACCAGACGCGCGGACCAACTGACCCAAAGTTTCCAGTCGGGTAATAAGGATGAGCTGGAGTGATCGTAGTATGAATCGTGCACGCTCTTCACTAGCAAGTTCATCGACTAAGAAGGATATACAAAAGACAGTTGGTTACTTTGACAATAGCGAATAGTAGCAGTTTGATTTGAATTCAAGTTCTGATATATATGAAGAAGGGGTTCCCCATGAAAAGGAACCAAGTAAGATAGGTAGGTAGTAAGTTATGTTGTAATGGAAGGAGAAATTTAGTTTTGCACGGATAAAGAATGATGAATGAGGTCACGGGCCCGGAAAGTTAACCACTCACCGATTGCGGATGATGCCAACACTCCCATGGAAGATGATGGGGCCCCTCAGCTGTTTATATGACCCTAATCCAACAGGGAAATTCACTTGATGCCTTTTTTTCCTGCTTGGAAGATTTAGGCGCGCCGAGCCCACTGGCTGGTCGGATGACGATTTGGCAATGTAATGCCAACCCCTCAGTCTAGTGTAAAGTCATGTATGGTACTGCAACTCTTTT